ATGATGAGGAAATGTACTGGGTTAGTTTTTGTTTTCCTTCAGGGATGGTGTGTCGAAAGCCAGCCGATCCTATTGACTGGCCACCTCTGGTCCTGGGACTCCTGACCTTGCTGAAGCAGTTTCATTCACGCTATACTGAACAGTTTCTGGGTCTGATCGGTCAGTTTGTTCGCTCCACAATGGAACAGTGCACCAGGTACCAACCTCTCCTTCACGAAGCCCTCGCTGCCTTCCCTTAGCAACAGAGCATATGTTAGGAGGATTAGATGCTCCTTCAAAGGGCAGCTGGATAAGCCATTATCCACGAAGCTCAATTTCTGAGTTGAGTATTGACACTCCATGGTTAAGAAGACATGAGCTGCTCAGTAGAGGGTGGAAAATATCTGGCCTTTGGATGTTGCTAAGTTACAGCTTGCAACAGTCCAAGTTGGCTAATGATTAGGGCAGTGGTAGTATTCAATTTTTTTTACTACCGGTTCTGTGGGTGTGGTTTGGTGGGCTGGGTGTGGCTTGGTGGACATGGCAGGGGAAGGATACTGTAAAATCCAGATTCCCACCCCACTCCAGGGGAAGGATACTTCAAAATCCCCATTCTCTCCCCACCCCACTAACCTGCTTTCCAGTTCCATTCTCCTGTGCAGGGCAACAAAAGAAGACCCAGCCAATCAACTGGGACTCAGGAAGCAGAGAATAGATAGGGGCTGGGCGAGTCAGAGGTGGTATTCTGAACTGCTCAAAATTTCCGCTACCGGTTCTCCAGAACTGGTCAGAACCAGCTGAATACCACCTCTGGATTAGGATTCTGAAAGTTGTAGTTTACCAACAGCAGAGGGCCATAGTTTCCCCAACTTCAGTAAAATTAAATGTTGGATCACTGGTGTGTCCCTTTTCTAAACTTGAGTTAAACTCTTTAAACCTGTTTGAAATGTGGTCGACAGAATTGTGCATCGATAATACACTCCATAACATTGATTTTTTTTTTGTCAATGGCTAAGTTTACATTGTCTTAAGGCCCAGTTAACAAATCACATGATGTGCAAAGCTAGTCAGCCAAACCACATATTGACCTCAAATCTGTAAATCCGATCCTTGACAGAACTTGTAACATCAGTTCTTTTTAATACTTCTAGCTTGGAGGCCTGGGATTTGTCTCCTGGTCAAATATTTACCAGGTTTTGTGGTTTAACATTTTTATTGACTTATAAGATAAAATAAGATACAGAATATGAAAGTAAATAGGAAAGCAGTGGGGAGGAAGAGGGGGAAGAGAAGTAAGGAAGGATTAGGAAAAAGGAAAAGAAGCATTGATTTCTGACTCTCTCTTGTTACAGTAAAATAAGGCATTAACATCAGATCATAACTTTTTGTTTTTTCATAATAATATAAACTAGCTATTTCTATAAGGATCTCTCAGTCGGTGAAACCCAAAATCAAAGTTTCATTCTTTTCTACTTCAAGTACAAAGTTCAGAAGCGGTCTCCATATGGAAACAAAAGTACTTATATTTTCTTTAATCAAAAGAGTCAATTTTGTCATTTCTACCAACTCCATCAACTTCTGCAACCATTCACCCGTGGTAGGAATCAAAGTGTCCTTCCATTTTGTGCATGCAATAGTCTTGCTGCTGTCAACATATATAGTAACAAAATTCCAAAAATTTTTTCAAGAGGTCTTTTTTCATTAGGCCCAAAAGGAAAAATTCTGGTTTCATCTTTATCTTCATTTTCAAAATTTTCTGTATTAAAATATGTATCATATGCTCCCAATTTTTTTTTTGCTTTATCACATGTCCACCATAGATGATAAAAAGTCCCTTCTTGACTTTTACATTTTCCAACATTCATCTGACATACCTTTATACATCTTAGATTAACTTACAGGTTTAATCCCTCTTAAAATAAGAGGCGGTAGGGGAAGATCGGGCAGTTTCAGCTAGGTTCTGCATCTGCTGTGCTGTGACACAAAATGGCTCCATTCTAAATCATCCTTAAATTAAGTTGAACATATATGGAGGTGAGAGGTGCTTCCTTCAACATTGATGTGTTTTCTAGCTGGCTCATCAGAGATGTACCAAAATTAAAAGCATTTTGTGTTGTGGTTTTGTGCCTATTTGCAGCCAGAAGGTCCCGGAAATGCCAGCAGATGTTGTGGGTGCCCTGCTGTTTTTACAAGATTACGTTCATTACACAAAATTACCAAGAAGAGTGAGTATAACAAGGGTTTTTTTGCGAATGAGTCCAATGTACTGAATGGACAAAAGCATCCAGAATTTTTGCCTGTGTTTCTTAGATCATCCTTAGATATGCTGTAGAGCCGCGATGGCAAACCTATGGCACGCATGCCGGAAGTGGCACGCAGAGCCACTTCTGCCAGCATGAAAGAGGTCGCCTGGAAGAGTCCCACTGTGCATGTGCGCCCGCACCTGCCCAACAGCTGATTGTCGGGTATCTGGTGTGCATGTGCAGGGGGCGGAGGTGCACGTGGGGGGGGGGGTCGCATGCACATGCATAGGGGGTTTGGGGGGGCTGCACACATTGCCTTCTGGGTGCTGGCACGCCAAGCGTGCATGCACAATTTTTGGCACGGGAGCCCAAAAAGGTTAGCCACCACTGCTATAGAGCACAGTTTCCCAAACTTGGCGAAATTTTAAGATATGTGGACCTCAACCACCAGAATTCCCCAGCCTGTATGACCATTTCCCCTAGGAAGATCATCTCTGATAATTCTGATTTTAAAAGGCAGCCACAGCTGAGAAAGATAAAGGAATAATTGAGCAGTTTGCTTTGCAAGGCTGACTTGCTTGGAATTCAGACATCACACTCTGAATAACGTAGTTCACCATTAATTTGGAACAAGACTAATGTTTTTCTGAAAATAAGTTTTGATCTGCAACTGGCGAGCTTAACCAAAACTAAATGAAGTAACTGTAGATTGAATAAAAATAGCAATGGCTACTCCTTAATAATTTTTGTACGGTTGCAGTTTCCCACTTCATGCCTAAGTGCTTCTATTCAGAAAGCCAAGATCTCAAATATAGAAATAGTTTGAAACATTTGGAAATGTAAAGCAAAAGATTGAGGGTGGGACTTTTTAAATATTTTAGTGCACTGAAAAAAACTTGAAAATCAGTACATACGTTTTCTCTTCCTTTTTTGCCTCTTTTTGCACTTCTGCACTTTTCTTTAACTTTCTCGGTTTTTTAAATTTGCATTTTACCATACAATTAAGTTCTATTTGTATTTTACCATACAATAACATTTTAAAAAGTGAAGAAACAAATATTTCACAGGAATAATGAGCCCTTTCTTTCCTTAGGTGGTCGAGGCCCATGTGCCTAATTTCATTTTTGATGAATTTCGGACAGTTCTATGAAATATCAACTGCTGGTTCTGAATGGAAAGAAGAAAAAACAAACCTCAAAAAGTGATAAGGAGAGGAAAAATCATTTCCAAATATATGAGTTTGCTAATCACCGAGTATTAATATTCTTCATAAAAATAACTGGAATCATGGCATCATAGCCAATGGATTATTAAATTCAAGCAGTGTATATTTTGTACTTTAACCTATGACGTACACAATTCCTTTACAAAAATCATCTGTTCCTAGAGAACAGCATGTGAATAGGAAATGATATTTTTTCGTAACACAACTAAAAAAAAATAACAACAGTGAAATGAATGGATTGTAAATGTTTACCATTTTCACCAGTGCATTATTTACATAATACCGTCATGTATGTTAATTAGAATCCAAATAATGAAGTCGGAAGGGACCTTGGAGGTCTTCTAGTCCAACCTTCTGCTCAGGCAGGAGGCCAATACCATTTTAGATAAATGGTTCTCCAGTCTCTTCTTTACAACTTAAAGTGGAGCTTCCACTACCACTGATTAATTGTCCTGTCAGGAAATGTCTCCTTAGTTCTAGGTTGCTTCTCTCTTTGATTAATTTTCATCCATTGCTTCTGGTCCTGCCTTCAGATGCTTTGGAGAATAGGCTGAACTCCTCTACTTTGTTGGGAGTCCCTGAGACATTGGAACACTGCAGTCATGTCTCCCCTAGTCCTTCTTTCATTAAATTAGACATATCCAATTCCTGCAGCTGTCTCTCACATGTTTTAGCCTTCAGTCCCCTAAATCATCCTTGTGGCTCTTCTCTGCATTATTTCTAAAGTCTCAACATCTTTTTTATATCATGGTGACCAAAACTGAAAGCAACATTCCAAGTGTGATCTGAACCAAGGCATTATAAAGTAGAACTAACACTTCATGTGATCTTGAGTCAATCCTTCTGTTAATAACCTATTCAATATTAATATACAATTGTATACAGTATACAATTGATGAAGCTTGCATGCTATGTTTGATCCAAGGTTTGCTGACTTCCTGGCTTATTTGATATTAGACAATGATGCTATTTTTCTCCTTGTCAAATGCCAGAAGTCACAGCGATCTTGTCATACTTCTACTAGTATCAGCAAGCTCCCATTTGTCCCCTTAGCTTAAATAAACTAGCCATGCTTGTAATAGACACATACTATTCAAAGAATGTCTTAGTAGTAAGGTTGGACCATAAGACAGCATTATATTTATTCAATAAATTTTTACTTGCTAATTCTCCTGTTTGATCTTAAATTTCTAATTTAACTAATACATCATATTCCTGTTTGTTAGATCTCTCATATCCACAATTTGAGGTAGCTTTTTCCATATAATTACACACCTTCAATACTTGGACAACTATGAAAAGGTCAAAATAACTCCTCAGTTTTGTTCAGCATAAGATGAGAAACTTGGATAATTATAATATTTATTATATTAAGATACAATAATAAATTCTTGAAAGCCTGTCCAACTTTCTCTCTTTCCCATCTTATAGTATACAAGATCAAGGTGAGGTTAAGAGTTTCTGCCTCCCATTTCTGGACATCCAATTGGCAACTAGCACAGAATCCCAACATTATAGAAAATGAGAATGTAAATTAAGAGTTGGACAAAAACGATCAGAAAAGCAAGAATTTATTATAAGTTCTGGGCTATAACAATAACGAGAATGTAGAAGTTCACCCCTCTTCCCCAAAGGTTAAAAGTTGCACACTTTAATGTAACAACAATAATATATATTGAAAACTTACAATGACACCCTGTAGTGGTACTGGTTTGTTTTTTAATTCCAATTGAATCAATGTTTGTCTTGGCACTGCCTATTCCTGGCACCCATTTAAAAACAAAACCCTTACGCGCGCACCCCTCAAAAAAAAAATGTTTTTGGACCTGCCAGAAGACTCTTCCCCTTCTTTCTATAATTGAATGGAAAAGAAAATGGAGAAGATCCCTAGAATATGTACCAGAGCTTGAAACAAAAACACAGTATATTCATGGAATATATGTTTACATGTTACTTGACAGAAAAGCTCAACACCAGAAAATATCAGTGAAGAAATATACACGTAAGAGCTGCGGATGCTTTTTTTAAAAATTGATTGAGCTGACCTCCTTAGTTTGATTTATTTTATTAACGCAACAAGGCAGTGCCGTTTATACTGCCGTTTTAGCTATCACTGTTACAGTAGCTGAAAAGGGTTGTTGCCAATATCGCTCTTAGAAACTTTATTTGTACAAATGTGTGTGCATTTTTATGTATGTGAACACAGACACATAACCCTGTTTATCTCAGTATACCCATAGCTGAATCTTTTTGTCCATCAGGATGCTTGAGTCCCTTCCCAGAAATCCGACAGAATGGAGATATTGCCATACATAGACATCACTGCTCCTTCTAATTTCTCCTCTGCCATACACCTTGCTTTGAGATGTTGCAGTTCCAAGTTCCATCAGCCCCAGCCAACACTTATTTATGAAAGCTCTAGTACAACATCTTGAGGACCCTAGTTCTCTCAAAACGAGACAGTTCTAATGAAGCCGACAATATGAAGGCATCTAGAATTCCATGCAGTCGTACCCCATCAATCTCAGCATTGGCTAAGTTCTTCCTGAAGCCTTGGGCTGTATCATTTCAGGCTACAGTGGAAGCTCAGCCAGCATTCCTCCATAAATAAATAATACCCTATATTTTTTGTAAAAAAAAAAAAAAAACCAAGACATTAGGGGGAATGCTTTTTCCAGTTTCTTTCTACAAAACCAATTTGGAAGGTCATTTAAATAAGCCGGTTTTAACCTGTGGTCTAAGAACAGTACGATGTCAGCCATGTTTGCTTTACAGTGCCAACATAAGCAAAATCATCCATTTTCGATTCGTAACCTCCTGGCAGGATAACTATGACTGCTGTTGTTGGTTAAGTCCCTGACTATTAACTTAACTTTGTTCAGTTAAGGGGCTGAACAAACTCCCATTTCTTTGTCACACACGCACACATACACACACCCAAAATAGAAAATAGAAGAAGAGCAGCTGGTCAGGGCAAAAGAAAATAAGCCAGTTCTGTAGGCCTAGAAAAAATGTGAACAGAGTCTGGAGGGTTTCTAAGCTGTGATTTCTGGAAATACACTCATAGTTCAGATCAGCAGTTCTAGAAATTACATTAATTGTTGTTGTTTTTTGGTAAGTTCTGGCCTCAAAAGTCAGAGGGGGCAAGGAAAGGGAAGCACTTGGCAATCTCCCGTAACATGCTAGATACTTACTTACTCTTGGAAGTAACCTGTTGTGACCCTCTCTTGCTCCCTTGGATTAGAATGGTGGTTTGGGGTTTTTTTTAAACATACCCTTGTTTGACAAGATTATCTATGTGCTTATAAACCTCAAAGCGCCACTGCAAGATCATCCCAGGCCCACAGTTTTGTTGCTGCTGTTGTCTTTTCGACTTAAGAGACAGGACACGTCCGAAAGATGTGAAGAAATCCAAGCAGTTGCTCTTCCCGTCTCTTTGCCCCTCTGTATTCAGTAGATGAGGCATTTCATTTCAGAATATATCAGCGGGAATATGACAGAGCAAGCTCGGTACATCACTGCGAGGCTGCTGAAAATGGCCCGGGGTTTGGTGATCCAAGATTCAGATTTGAAACAAAAGTAAGTGGCGTAGAGAGCAACGGCGAAGAAGTGGCCGATCAGGACGATGGGCTTCGGAGACAAACTGTAAAGAAAGATTTGGAAGCAGAAATAAATTACGAGGAATATATATTTTGTGAGTACAACACTAGAAACTGTGAAAAGATCATCCATTAATATGACAGAATAATAGAACAATTTAAAGAATATTGCTATTTTCCCCCTTGAAACTTTTCCATAGAAGATTGAGAACCCACTTTTTACAATAAGTTCTCTCTGCTTTTTCATATAGACTTTCTTTACAATACAGGATAATTCAACAGGGGGGTGGTATAACAAGTTATTAATTCCTGACTGTTTATTAAATTCATTTCAGTTACTCCTATTCTTCAGTTTCCTGAGTCCTACTGGTTCCTGCTCGGTTCCTCTCTCTTTGCTATTTTCTTTTATTCAACATTTGTTGCCTTCATAAGCAGGCAAAGTTTTACATTTTACATTTTCAAGAGCCAAAGGTTCAGGTAGGTGCTTCAAGAGACCACACTCAGCTGTATTTTATATGTGGAAGGTCTTGGATTTAATTACCATTATAGTAAAAGGCTGAATAGGAAAGACTTCCTTCAATTTCCATACAAGTAATCCTCGATTTACAATCATTCGTTTAATGACGGTTCAAAGTTCCAGTGGTGTTGGAAAAGTTACCTTCTGATCAGTTCTCACACTTAAAACCACAGGTAGTCCTCAACTTAACAAGAGTTCATTTAGTGACCGTACAAAGTTACAACGGCACTGAAAAAAGTGACACGATAATTTATCACACTTATGACATGATTCACATTCGGATGCATGACAATTGACTCACATGTATGGTGGTTGCAACTGTCCTGGAGTCACGTGATCCCTTTTTGCGATTTTCTGACAGGCCACGTCAAAGGGGAAGACAGATTCACTTAACAACCGTGTTACTAATTTAACAACGGCAATGATTCAGTTAACGAATGTGGCAAGAAAAGTCGTAAAATGGGGCAAAACGCACTTAAATTTCTCACTTAGCAACCTAAACTTTGGGCCCAATTGTGGTTGTAAGTTGAGGACTCTCTGTATAGCCATGGCCCTGCAGTCATGCGACCAAAAATTGGGGCAGTTGGCAACTGGCACGTGTTCAAGACAGTGGCAGTGTCCTGGCGTGATGTGATTCCCCCATTTGCGGACCTTCCCAAGGGGCTTCTCGCGAGCAAACTCAAGGGGGGAAGCCAAGTTCGCTTAATGACCGCAGCAAAAAAAAAGTTTATAAAATCAGGCCTGATTCACTAAACAACTGCATCGCTTCGTGACAGAAGTTCCAGTGCCAATCGAGGGATGTACCGTATTTCCCCATGTATAAGCCACCCCTTTTTTCCAAAATTTTCAAGCCCAAAAAGTAGGGGGGTGGCATATACAAAGCAGGTACACTTTTTATACGTGAAAAATGCATAAAATAATAAAGTAGGAATAAACTGGTTTTCCAGCAATATGCTATACTTTTTTGTAAAAATTGTATGTGACGATACGATTACGAGTGCGAGTACCCGATAGAAATGCATACGCTAGGCATCGGCCTGAATGCTTCGTTCCTACTCTCGTTCCGATGCGTAGATTGCTAGCGTCGCCCGCACCGCTTTCGGCGTCATGACCGAAGTTGTAGATCTAGACGTCGAATTTTGTTTCTTTGTAAATTTTCTTTCTTCATAACTTGTTTCTCTAATAAAATATTTTTTTCAAAACTTCACAGTCCAAAAATTGGGGGGGTGGCTTATTCAAAGGGGGTGCTTATACATGGGGAAATACGGTAAGTTGAGAACTATTTGTATTCAGACATAGCCAAAGACAGATTTTTACACCCTAAAGGATTGTTAAATAAAATACAGTATATGACTTGACTTAATTGTCTAGCCAGACAACGCACTCTTGGATCGCCATTACCCTCCGCGTGTCTCTCTTTCTAAAAGGCTCCCAAGGCAAGTCAGGGGCTCTGCTAACTGCAACCGCTGCCAATAACAAGTTGAACAAGAATTTTGGGGTGGGGGGAAAACCCCCAACTTACATGGAAAGTAATCCAACTGGACCAGACACACACTTGCCTCCAAGCTTGAAATAGTAAAAGCAGGCTCTCCTTAGCTTGTGTAGAGAATCTGTCAAATAGACGAAACACGACATCAACCTTAGCAGAAAGGCCAGGCAAAATCAGAAGATGAAAGTTTACAGCACAACGGCACAATCTTGGCCTAAATAAACATTCCCTTTAAAATCGTATCCCGCGTAGATGGACAAAACCAGGTGGACTTGATATCGCGGCAACAGCAACTTTTGGGAGAGGTTCTGCAAGGGAGTCGTCTTTAATGTAGATTGTTAGGTCATTGTGCGTTCTATCCTAGGCCTCCCGCAAAAGCACTAAGTCAATTCTGAGTCCCAGCAAGAACCTCTTTTATTACATCAATGTGAGTGTATTTCATTCACGGATTGGCAGTCTTGCGAAGGTAGACTAATGAGCTCAGACCTTCATCAATCCTGGAACGCTGCCCGGTAAATAGTTCCACACTCGCTGCTGGCAGGGAAGGGCTGGGTTGTACAGACAAATCTCCATGAGACTGGAGCAAACAAACGACCGAGTTGTTTCCTGCAAAAGCCCCCTCCCCTTTTGCTTCTCTTTTAATCCTGATGGGAGGGGCTGTTCATCGTCCACCTGTGGCCTTACTCCCACGTCGACCCTGAGTTCTTAATTGTGCCTTCCTTTTGGCAGGGATATGGTGTACTCGGGTATTTGACTCGGATCAGGAGCCACAATTGAGCAGTGTAATTTGGCCCATTTGTAGGAGCAAGGTGTGAGATCTTGTAATATCATCTGCCACAAAAGATTCAAGTACCAAAAGGAAAACCAACCAGGATGTTTCTAGCATGTCCTTCAACTTCTAGAAGAGTAGATACCAGCTGTTTTTATGTTTGAAGTTCACCTCTTTCAGGTATGACTTATGACAGGTCACTTAGCAACCATTCGAAGTTTTGAATGGCCTCCCCAAAGGATATTTATGACCTGGATTCAAAGTTCTGACGGTCCCCCCCCCCCCCCCCTGCAGTCATGTTCACATTTTTGGAGTGCTTGGCAACTAGTCTACATTTAAGGCCATTTGCAGCCGTTTGGGGCACAATTGTGGTTGTAAGTTGAGGACTGCCTGTAATTATAGGATTGTTCTGTAATTGTCAGGATTCCGGCACTTAACGCCATTTAAATCTTGAGTCTTGAGCCAAACTTCCAAAACTTAAAAAGGATTTATTGGGAGTTAAACTGTCCAGCATTGCCTGGGTGTAGCCAACTCTGAGACACATCATTCATCGTCACCCTTGACCCTGGTTTTCCCTCCACCCCCTGGGTGTATCGTAATTCAGATTCTCCAATGGGACACATCCATAGCCAAGAGTCATCAATCATGCTCTCCAGTTAGAATTTTGCATGGCAGAAACTTAGGTCACCTAGAAACTATCTCTGAAAGCATTTATGGAATGCAAGCTGCCGCATTGCTCCCCCTTTCCTTTCTGTTGGCAACTCTCAAAAAAACAGACATATTTCACGTTGACATAATCAATCAGAAAATAAGATTCATCAAATGTATATATACAGGTAGTCCTTTATTTAGAGTAGTTCATTTAGTGATCGTTCAAAGTCAGAGCAGCCCTGAAAAAGTAACTTATGATCGTTTTTCACAGTTACGACCCTTGCATCATCTCCATGGTCATGTGACCAAAATTCAGACGCCTGGCATCTGGTTCATATTTACGACAGCTGCAGTATCCCAAGGTCATGTCATCAGCTTTTGTGTGCTTCTGACAAGCAAAGTCAATTGGGAAACCAGATTCACTTAACAACTGGATTACTATCTTAACAACTGCATTGGTTCACTTAACGACTGTGGCAAGAAATGTCATAAAATGGGGCGAAACTCACTTAAATGTCTCGGGTAGCAGCATAAATTTTGGGCTGCACACATACACACACACACACACGTATATACACAGGGAGAGAGAGAGATTTCTTACAACACAAAAATGAGTTAAGTGTACAGGAAGTAAATAATTATTTGATTGACTGTATGGAGGAAGGAGCCTGAGAGAAAAATGCCAATATTTCTAAAGAGTCGTGCATCAGATGGGACTCAGACAGGAGCAGCCTGAGGTGCAGGATGTGGGTTAACTTAAACCATTAAGACCAGTATTTCTCAACCTTGGCAACTTGAAAACAGTCAAGGATGAAGGAGACGGCAGGAAGAATAGCAAGGATGCAGCACAAATCATTCTGCTAAAGGGAAGGAGAAGAACCAGAGTTGAAAGAAAAAAATGCATTTTTGAATAAGCACATACCATCTGTTGCAGCGAATAGTTCGTAAAGCGCCTGAGCAAGAACATTCACAACAAAGGAATGAGACTTGTTTCTTGTCCAGTAGAAGGTCTTTTTGGCCTGCAAAAGATAAATTTCCAACAGATTGCTGCTCCACTTGATATTCAATCAGATGAAAGTGGGGAAGGGGGAACGATTTCAAATATAAAACAAAAGGCGTACTTGAAGTTGTATAAAAGAAACTTTGAGACCTTCAATTCTTTATAAAAGAAAAAAATATATGGATCTTACTTGCAGCAGAGCAGAGTCTTCATACAGGTCTGGAATGGTCTGTAGCAAACACCTCCAGATCTTGATGTCATTCAGAGCAACGCTCATTCCTCCACCCGTCAGAGGATGCCTCATATTGTAAGCATCTCCTAGGAGGAGGACTCCTAAAAGAGAAAGAGTCCTAACGTCAAAACTCGCACAGATGCAATTTTTGGGATTTGATTTAAATGTTTGAAAGGCTTCTTTAAAACCCTCCATGCAAATTGTTAAGTGACCGGCTGGTAAAACTACAAGGAAGCCTCCGTTTTAGCCACCAATGGGGAGAATGGGGCCTCTGTTACCTCCAAATGTCAATTAAACTGCAGTTTCTTTCATGACGAAGTACATAATTGCTTAGCGTTGTCAAATCCTACAGATGATCTCATCCGTGGGAGTTTGCATCAAACTCATGTAAATGGCTGTGAAACCGAAGGGAAGTGGCATAATGGCTCAGCAGTTAAGACATTGGGCTTGTCGGCTGGAAAGCCAGCAGCCCGGGTTCAAGACCCGAGCCGCACACAACGGGGTGAGTTCCCATCCTAGCAACAGCTCCTGCCAACTAGCAGTTCGCGAGTAGGTAAATAGGTACCCACTTCGGTGGGAAGGTAACAGCATGCTGGCCACATGGCCATGGAAATGTCTTCCTCAATGGCCTTGAAATGGAGATGAGCATCGCCCCCTACAATCGGCAATGATTCGCGGAGTAAAATCCACAGAAACTCCTTTACCCCATAAGTGTAAAGACGTCATTATGCAAATGAGATAACTTGGGGCAAATGACGTACTATTAAATTACAGTTGAACTAAGTGGAACTGCCCTCCTGCAAAGCTGGTTTTCTCTGAGTCTCTCTGATGTACAGTCAATTATGAGTCAATTAATATTTCCACTCCAGGAATCCATATTAAAAAATCCTTAATCAACCAAAACCATTTTACTAATAAATGTATTCTGACATTTACTGTGGTACATACAGAGAGGATGCCAACTTAATTGTAAAGAGAATTGCTCTAAAGGCTAAGGGTTATTAGCAATGGCCAAAAGGATTGGCTGAGGTGCAAAGAAATAGGCAAATAATTTCGTTTGCTCCAATTTCAGACCTTGTGATTCAAAAATATAAGGTCAACTTATGTCAGAAGTCTTTCAAAAGAGCCCCTTGGCTGAAAGGGCACCAGAAAGGAGCATTTCCCTGCTCAGGGCGGGGAAAACCATTCTGCGCTCCCAAGTCTTTTGTTCGATCTGGGGTGTGGCAACTTTAAGACTTCTGGACTTCCAGAATTCCCAGCATGACTGGCTGGGGAATTCTGGGAGTTGAAGTCCCCAAGCCTTAAAAGTTGCCAAGATTGGACTGCTCTGTGATAGATTGTGATATTTTCTGCATTCTCTGCTTTGTTCACACACCTGCTTTATTGACAGGACAAGGCGGAAGAAAGCTTGCCGGCATGACTCTCAGACGTTCATTCTGTACTGCTATGAGGAAAGGCTCTTGAAAGTGTTCTGTTAAAAAAAAAAAGCAAGCAAATTTGGTGCATGAGTTTTAAAACATTTTGTCATGCCCCCATCAGAGCCTGAATCTGTGGGACAAGACGAGCTAGAATCAGAGCTATTGTCTTCGGAAGAAAATGGGGAAAGCCAGAGTCTTTCAGGATTAGGACAGTTTGTAGACAGGGAGGAACAGGGGCAGGATGAACATGAGAGACAGAGCTCAGGCAATGAGCAAGGACCACCCCCTCCTGATCCAAGAGCCCGGAGAGTGGAGAAGAGGCGTGAACAACACAGACTGAGCAAGCTACTTAGGAGAAGACTGCCCCGCCCATCTTCATACAAGGCACACCTGGGCAATGAGACTTAAGGAGATGCTGTGGGGATGGGCATTTGTCAGGAACAAACGCCGACAACTTAAGACGACATGAAAGTGTTGAGTGCCAATGTTTGAATTTTCCAAGAGTCCTTGCATTCTTTCTGGCGTTCTGGACCAATTACCTGGATCTGTTGCTTCCTGGACTCCTTGATTTGCCCTGCTGCATTTATTGCTGTGCAGACCTGGTGTACAGGGTTGGGCTGGACTAATTGCATCCAGAGGCTTCTTGAGGCTTGTGGGTGGGTTTGTTATCACTTTGCTCTGGGACTTGCCAAAAACGTAGGAGCATTTGGGGAAATTTGGAGCAATAAAGGGGTGGTTTGAACTGCCAGATGTTTGTGTTATCTCTGTGCCATGCCCGGGGTCATCACACATTTGTCCTTGAGCCAAGATTAAGAAGAGAATGCACGTAACAGAAAGAAGATCTCTGACAATCCAAGGTCAACTTCAGTTCTTCAGCTAAAACACTTTAAGACAGGGGTCGCCAACCTTGTGGACCTCAGGGACCACCAAACTCATAATTTTAGATCCCAGGGACCACTAACTGGTTCTGTGGGTGTGGCCTAATTTGTGGGTGTGGCTTGGTGGCCATGTGACTGCTGGGCATGGCTTGTATGTAAATATTATAAATATTTATATAAATATTGAATTTTTTATAAAGAAGAGCAACTTTTACCCAAAATCAGGCAAAGCAGGCAGACTGAGTTGCTCACAGAATCACAGATTCATTTAGAGATCTATCTGCCATTGGCTAGCTCAGTCTGTCACATAAAATTTGCTTGCAAGCAAACTCACAAGATTAACTCACAACACACCATGCATGTAAATATTGAATTTTTTATATAAAAAAGCAACTTTTACCCAAAATCAGGCAAAGCAGGCAGATTGAGTTGCTCACAGAATCATTCAGTGATCTATCTATCTGCCATCGGCTAGCTCAGTCTCTCAACTTTGCTTGCCGTGAGTCTGCACTGAATTTGCTTGCAAGCAAACCTTCAATCCTAAGGGAGGTTCAAATGTGCTGAGCCGAAGATCTAAAGACTAGCTAGAAAGCAAGCTATCCAACCATTTGCTGCTTCCCGGCTAATCTAAATCTCCCGGCACACAGCAGAACAGATGATGTTCAGAAAAAGGAAAAATAGCAATTTAGCAGGCAAGTTTACCGGGTAAGGAGTGAGTGGGCGGGGAGGGTTCCCGTGGGCCATGTGGGCGGAGCAACCTTGTGTTTCTGCGCAGCCTGGATTAATTGCTTTGTGGGGGTGCGCTGGGGGTGAGATTTCTCTGCGGCCTACCAAAATTTTCTCAGGGCCCATCAGTGGGCCGTGGCCCACCGGTTGGCGACCTCTGCTTTAAGACAATGTTTATCCACCTTGACAGTTTTAAGGTATGCACACATCTTAAATTCTGTAGTTTAAGGCAGGGCCCAACCCCTGGGCCACCGCCCACTTCTGGGCCGTGACCTATTTGGAATTGGGCTATGCGAGTGGCTGGCCAGAGGGTGTGCACACAGTTCAAGTTGTGTGAGCAGTGGGCCAGCGGGCACTTACCCACGTGCCGGCCTGCCACTCACACGGCCCAGTTCCCCTTTCTCCCCACAGCCAGGCCGCCAAGCCACAAAGGTTGGGCCCCGCTGGTTTAAAGTAGCCAAGATTGGGAAACACTGCATTAAGACAGGTGCCTAAACTACTATTCAAGTCACTGGCTTACGAATAGTCCTCAGCTTGTGACCATTCATTTAACAAACATTCAACGGTGATTCCACATTATAATGGCAGTGAATAAAGTCAGTTACAGCTGGTCCTCACACTTATGACTGTAGTAGTGTCTCTTTGGTCAGGTGATCACCATTTGCAACCTTCCCAGGGGGTTTCCAACATGCAAATCAATGGGAAAACCTGGGTCCACTTAACCACGTAATTCATGTAATGATCCCAGTGATTTTCTTAACAACCAGAACAAAAAAAGATCAGATGCAACTCATCAACTATGCTGACTAGCAACAGAAGTTCCTGTCTACGTTGCAGTCATAAGTCGAGGACTACCTGTAAAGATATTAAGACTCCGTGCAAAGGTTACTGTTACCTGGCAGCTGTGTATAAATCTTTTCAACCATGTATTCCTTAAGATTTTTGGGCATTTCACCTCGAATGTCAACAAGAACTCGAGTTTCATTGGAAGAAATCTGGTAGATAAGCACTGGGCTAGGATTTCCTAAAACCAGCTCGGCGTAATTGGCTTTAAACTGAGGAGAATTCTTTATAGACAAAGAAAGAAACAAAGAAAGAAAAACATTATTTAAAAAAAAAAGAATTTCCCAGAACCTTCCTGCTTTCCTTGAGTAATGCATACTGCATACTGCGGTAATGAGTACTGCCATGAGTAATTTTCGGCTGACAAATAATCCAATGCTCATAGACTTTCAACAAAACTGAAAGTTCAAATACCAAGAAGCTCTACCACAACCCATCATCAGGCTGAAATCATTACACTGAGCTGTGTTGTTTTCTCAGTTGTTCTGGTTTGCAGTGCCCTTTAGTGTCAGTTTGAGGAAAACTTGAAATAAGAACATTTGAAATGCTGTTCTATGGTATAGGTAATCCTCGGTTTACAACAGTCCATTTAGTGACCGTTCAAACTTACAGCACTGAAAAATGTGACTTATGACAATTTTTCATAGTTACAACCTTTACAGCACCCCCATGATCATGTGATTAAAATTGCTTGGCAGCTGGTTCATATTTATGACCGTTGCCATATCCCAAGGTCATGTGATCCCCTTTTACAACCTTCTGACAAGCAAGGTCAGAAGACAACAGGGAAGCCATATTCATTAAACAACTGGGTTACTAACTTACCAACTGCAGTGATTCACTTAACAACTGTGTCAAGAAAGGTCGTAAAAGGGGGCAAATCTCACTGCACAAACGTTTCACTCAACAACAGAAACTTACAGTAAAGAGAAAATATATTTGATTGTTTACGTAGCTAGAATTGTATTTGCTCAAAATTGGAAAAGCGAAGAGATTCCTACTGATGAAAATGTGATTACAAAAATATTAGAATGTGCAGAAATGAATAGATTAACGTTTGCAATTAAAGAGAAGGAACAAACTGAATATAATTATAAGTTATGAGAACTACTTCATCGATTGCTAGAGAAAAAATATGAAAGGTAGAAATAGCTAACAGATTAGTGAAATATAGAAAAAAGGCTTATAGAATTAAACATGTTAAGAAGAGGAGCGTTATAGTAATAGACATATTATTTATATTAATAAGATAAGAATAAGATAAGGACAGAGAATTAATACCAAAGTAATGAACATGGATGTAAATTTTAATTGTTATTCCACAAGATATTTGTATCCAGGCGACACACCGTTAAAAGGAAGATGAGTTGTATGTACTTTAAATAAAATAAAAAAATAATTACAAAACAAAAAAAATCACAGAAATGTTGGGCTCAATTGTGGTTGTAAGTTGAGGACTGCCTGTAATTATAACCGCAACCCTCCAAATGTGATGATAATATTGCTTCGTGTTTTACGAAACCACTTACCTTCAAAATGCATCCTACGAAATGAGAAGGGACTTTCACTTTGCTGGAGATAAGATTTTTTCGAAACTTGGAAAACAGACCATCGGCAACTACCGTTAAGGGTGCGTGGAGTTCCTGAAATACAAAAGAAATAAACTTTAAACCATCAACGTTGATTTAAAGTTTGACAATGGACTCCAAAGCAAACACAAAATCGACAGGATGCTGCTTTTCAATATGCAAATGGTAATGATCATCACGATGCACAACCTTCACAGGTAGTCCTCAACTTTGACTGTAACTCCATCCTAACACTGAATGGTTGCTAAGCAAATGGTCATAAGTTGAGGACTACTTGTACCTTACTGGTTTTAACAGGCCAACCTGAAGTGCAAAGTCGTATGTGAGGCAGGAATGAGTGAATAATTTTTGAATGTTTCCTTCTGCACTGAATTCTTCTCACCCACGATTTTCTCACAGATCTTTATATTCCTCAATCTACACCTTGCACACATCCCAACATCCACATTAAGTGCTTTGAAAACAATGATTCCATTGGAAGGTATATATTACTTAGCCTAATTCAGTTGCAGGATTTGGCTTTGGCTAGTCCAGAGAAAAGAAGGACTAGGGGTGACATAGCAGTGTTCCGATATTTGAGGGGCTGCCACAAGGAAGAGGAAGGTCCACCTATTCTCCAAAACACCAGAAGGTAGGACAAGAATCAACAGATGGAAACTCATCAAGGAGAGAAGCAATCTGGAATTAAGGAGAAATTTCCTGACAGTGAGAACAATCAACCAGTGGAAGAGCTTATGTTCAGAAGTTGTGGGTGCTCCATCACTGGAGGCTTTCAAGAACAGACTGGATTGCCATCTGTCCTAAATGGTGTAGGGTCTCCTGCCTGGGCAGGGGGTTGGACTAGAAGGCCTCCAAGGTCCCTTCCAACTCTATTATTCTGTATTCTGTAGTGCCACGGCTGCCATTCAAAATGGCCTCCTCCTGCTGTACCTCAATGTGCTCGGGATTGCACAAGGCTTACACTCTTGAAGTGGCTTCAGAGAATGCTCTTTTATGGTCGTTTCATGTGCCGTTTTCAGGGGGTCTGAAGGCTCCTTGAAAGCACAGCTCTCTCACACAACTTCCGAGGCTGCACAAGACCATGCCTCATTCTCACATGGCCTCCAACTTCTAAAAATCATGCTCAAATGGGATCTGCCTTCAAGAATTGTCCTTGTCGGCTGCTGGTGCATGCTTGCGTCACCCAAAATGTGTCACCTTTGACATGTGTGTCACCTTTGACATGCATGGCATAGGTTCATCATCACTGTAATAAGCAATCCCATGAACCCAGCTTGTTTAAAACTGATATAGTATCCTAGAACACTGGAATAACCAGAATTGCTGGAAAATCTCACCTTTGTATCACCAGTTTCTTTATCTTTATATACGATTCCAGCTACACATTCCTCTTCTTCAAGTAACTGTACCACTGTCCCCTCAATAAATTTTGCACTGAAAAAAAGCAGATTTATTTAAAAATGCATACATTTTATTGTGTTGGATTGAAAGGGGCGCCTCTGTTTAGAAATGTTGCAAGTTGGAAAGTATTTCTTCTCTCTTTTTAGTCTGAACTATAGACTAAAACTAGAAAGCCTTCTTGAAACAGACAAAATAATCTAGCCTGACTGCCAGGTTGATAAAATGGTTAAGTTGCTAGTCGGAACAGGGAAATCTAGTTCACTGTGAACCACAAAAAAATTGTTCACTCTCTCTCTGTACCCCTCTTTTTCTACGTGTGTGATTTTAATTTTCATATGAAGTACTTTCATATAAATTTCCATATAAAGTACATGCAATTACATTCAATCTTAGACAAAACAGCTGTTATACAGAAAACTGGACTTCTGAAGTAAAAAAGAAAAGAAAAGGAAGATGTTAAAATGTCATCCGTGAAAGAAAATAATGTAAGAAAAACATGAGGAAAGAGTGTGCTAACCATGTGCTGTCAGGTTGGTATGTTCTAGGAACCAATCTAGACTGGGGGCGGGGGGGTAATTAATTTTCCCAAGAGGCCAATGAGAAACTTGTCGGGGGCTGCGTCTACCCTGCCCCCATTGCTGCTGACGCCCCGGCCCCTGCACCCGCCCTGATGCTGCAACCAATTCCCAATCCCAATGTTGACCTGGTGCCCTGCTCCCACAACGTCCCACCTCCAATTGCTGCTGCTGGCCACAGTCGAACTGCCCACAGGTCAGATGTGGCCTGCGGGGCATGAAATGCCCAGGTCTGATCTAAATAAACCTTCTTCAAGATCGTGTGTCCTGAGCCTGGACTTTCAGGTCTTCCAATAGTGCACGAAGCATACCATTCTTTATCTAGATGTTGTTTCTAAACCTTGGCCTTTTTAAGATGTGTGGACTTCAGTTCCCAGAATTCCCTACCTAGCCGGCTGGGGAATTTGAGAATTGAAATCCATATATCTTAAAATGGCCAACCTTGAGAAATACTGCACTAATTTGAAAGCCTAGACCAGTCTTTGCGAACCTTTTCAGCACCGAGTACCAAAATGGGAGTGCCGGAAACTAGAAGAGTAACTTCCCGGCACGTGTCCGGGAGCACAGGAAACCGGAAGAGCAGATCCTCAGCACACATGCGTGTGCCTGAGCTTCTGGTTTTTGGTGCGCACACGCGCATCAGGAAACTGTTCTTCTGGTTTCTGGTGCTTCCGCATGCACAAAGACCAGTATGCGTGCTGGAACCCAGAAAAGCAACGGGCGACAGCTGGCGTGCTGGAAGAGATGGCTCTTCATGCCACTTCCAGCACGCATGCCATAGGTCCACCATCAAGGGCCTAGGTCAACCTCTATCTTCTGAAGATGTTTCTATAAATCACTTTTTCTTTCCCTCATATTTAACAAGGTTCTTTCTTGATATTAGAGTTGCTACTTACAGGGAGAACTTTGATTCAGAGTGCCTGGAACATTCACGTAACACTTGCAAAAACATGTTAATTTTTTTCCCAGGAACGCACTGTGGTTGCGAGGGCAATCCCATGAACCCAGGAAAAGACACAACTGCTTTAAGGGGCTTCTGACAGATGCAATGCACAAATTCAAGTGTACTCCGAGACCTATCCCTCTCTTCAAATCCAATCCATTTTCTGGACTGATTATAGCTTACAAGATATAAGGGCTTATTTTACGTTCAATTTCGACAATTCATTCTTTGTTTGCAGGTTGTCAGTATGCTAAAAACGACAAATTAGGCCTCAACAGGAGTAGCCTGTTTTGTGACACTGGCAATTCAAACAGCAAAACAAAACAAAAAGGCTTATGGAATAACTTCTAGGAGTTTCATTGACAGAACATATAAAAACCAATCCAACTGATATTGCAAATGCTTCTTCTGGTTAACTCCAAACTATTCTCAAATGCAACGAATAAAAGAAAAGCACATTTAAAATGAAAAATAGATGGAGGCATGTTAAGAAGACCCTGTTAGCCATGTGGCCTAACCTATTTGTGTTGTGACTTTAGATGATTAAACTTACTTGGGTTCCGACATGGCTGCCCTTCGGAGACCCATGATGAAGCGTCCGTGATGAAATGCTTTCCCGTTCTGCACTTGCCCAGCTGCTGTGCAAGGGTAAGGGATCTCAACCTCTGCCTTGTTTTCAAGGTTATGAACAATGTAGCCATTTATTGTATGAGCATCTATACCTTCCACAGCATCTGCAAAATAAATGAATAGAGAAAGGAGGAAGTTTTAGGAGGAGCCAGCTAACTTAAAAACATGCATCTGCAGTGTACTTTTCAAACAAACAGTTATATTTGCCAGAACGTCTTAGGAAGATCTGAGCAGCTTCACACAATGGTCAGATATAGGGGAATTCCATTCTATAGTCCCTACAATGGACGTCTCTGCATTTGCAGAGCGGCAGAGGTAGAAGACCTGGCTCACATCCTATTTGATTGTCGCCTATATAAGGTGAGAGGCAGGTAAACTCGGTCTGTAGACCAAACGAATTGGGATCCCCATATCAAAATAATTTACCTTATGTGCGGCCAGAATCTGGAAATAACATTTAACACAGCACAGTACTTGAGGAAAATGGTTCCGTTGAAATTGGTATTTGTGGGACTGATTGGAGTAGATTGTAGGGGTGACACTGAAATATAATGTTATCATATTTTATTTATCTATATATTAAATTATTGCATTTTATTCCAATTTCTTTGAAAATCATATTTTATTCCGATTTCACTGAAAATCGTATTTTATCCAATTCTATTTTAAATTGCTTTTATCAGATTTTAGTAATAATTTGTGTCTGGAATTCTGCACTTGGATATGGCCCAAGGACTAAATCAATAAGGTAAACGGACACATCTAGGGTGACTGGTATAGCCCAGGGCAACTATACGATCTGTGGCCTTCAACACGCAGAATTCCTGAGCCAGCATTGCTGGGAGCTGAAGTCTCCCCAAGTTATACCGTGTCCATAACCACTCTGGCAAATAACAGGAATTATCTCCAGGAGCAACCCTAGGAGAAAACAGGGAGCTTTGTTTCTGCATTTTGTTGTGGTGGTGGTTGCTGTGATGCTAAGTCTTGTCCGACTCCTTGCGACCCCATGGACCACGGCATGGGGACCCCCTGCCCTCCACTGTCTCCCAGAGTTTGCTCAAATTCATGTTCATTGCATCCATGACAAGAGGTGGTGTTCAGCTGACCAGTTCTGGAGAACCGGCAAATGCCACCTCTGACTGCCCCGCCCCCATCTATTCTCTGCCTGATCAGCTTGGTCTTCTTTTGTTGCCCTGCACAGGAGAACGGAGCTGGAAAGCAGGTTAGTGGGGCGGGGAGGGAATGGAGATTTTGCAGTATCCTTAGTCTGCCATGCCAGCAGAACTTATAGTACTGTGTTTCTCCAACAATACCCCCACCCCATAGGAAGGCCGACCACTGTTTTATAGGCATGAAGTGAAATTAAGCCCCGCCCCCAAAATTTGGGCCTATTTAAACCATGCGTTCCCTGCCATTTTTAAACATCGCTTGAACTACACGGGGTGAAGAGAAACGGGGGGGGGAACGACTTGCCTTTAGGAACGCCCCGCAGGTAGCCTCAGCTAGAGCACCCCACAGGCAGACTTGCCTCTACTGGCCGATAGAAGCACCCCAAGGGCAGAGCCACCCGCCGCTTCTATCGGCCGTTAGGAGCGGCCTCGTGGCGAGGCGTGGCTGCCCGCGGGGTGCTCCTAACGGCCAATAGAAGTGCTCCGATGGCAGAGTCACCAGCCGCTTCAATCAGCCGAAAGAAGTGGCCTCGTGTAGAGGCGTGGCTGCCCGCGGGGTGCTCCTAATAGCTGTTAGGAGTGCCCTGTGGGCAGCCACGCCTCACCACAAGGCCGCAACTATTGGCCAGCGGCTTCCATCTGTGTTAAATATGCCAGAAATAAGTTTATGAATTGAATTTCCTTAACATTTAACTGCCAGTTTAATGCTTGCATTTGCACAATGTACTAAATTTAAGGTTTTAACTTTGCTTCTTTTTATTATTTACCCTGTTACACAACTTAGTTGACTTCTTGGTTAACTTATAATTTAATGTATCGAGTAATCCAAGAAAATAGATTACAGTACAGTAATTCCGTAACAAAGCTAGGTGTGCTGTGCAAGGACAGGGATAACATTCAAGGATATTTCCAGATATTTGTTGTGCAATTATTCTGGCATATTTAACATAAAACACAGGTCATCCGTCTGTTTGAAAACTATTCTGCAGCATTTTAGAGTAAATTAATAACTCTATTGGCTTCTTCGATGATTAGAGGTACCAGTAGTCCTTGACTGTTGCGTTCATTTAGTGATTGTTCAAGGATTATTGTGTTCATTTAGTTCAAGGATATTTCCAGTTATGTGTTGTGAAATTATTCTGTCAGTTAAATGAATATCTAGATTTCATCATACTCAACTCATCAACTTATATTTTCTGCTTCTTCATTTTTTTCTACAATAACAAAAATCCATTGAAAAATAACAGGTGAAATAACTGCAGTGTGTTTCCAACTGGCAGCATTAGCCACTTTTTGTTTTTTTAAAGGATCCAACCAGGAAATAGGAATGAAATATATACATGCCTAAATATGGGGTGAGCAATGCTGTCACTAGATCAGGGACAGCTTAGTAGTTCAACTTTGTGCTTGGCCACAAAGTCTCTTGAATGACTTTGATCCATGCACTATTCTATCTTACTTTTGGTTTGAAAATTATTAATTCAAGAAGAATGCAGTAAACCCGCCCCCCCCCTTTGGAGGAAGGGTAGAATAAAATGCAAATATATATTAGACTTGCGATAATTTGGACTCTGGGGAAAAGTAACATACATGCAACCCCCCCACTTCCTTTGTCTATGAATATTGTAATATTTAAGTTATTTTAATGTCCTGGAATATCTACCGTAGGAATGGGGGATTTAAGAGATGTGTATCGTCTTATTCTACAGGAAAACTACAGGAACGGGGCGAGGTAGGTACCGTATTTGCCCAAACCACGCCTCACACTACAAAGTCTGTGTAGAAGCCAAAACTGTATTTGTGGATTCCCCTTGTACGGTCTGAAAAAGAGATGCCAAAATACCCCATCAACCACACAAGGGAGAGCTGAAGCCGGATTCACCACCTGTCAGGGGTCGTCCGCAAGCAAAACCTTGAGAAGAAGGTAGGAGAAAGGTGGGCTGTTTAGCTCGCAGTTTTATGGACAGCAATCTCCATGTTCCTCCTCGAAGCATACCTTCCACCTCGAAGACGCTAGGGGATGCCAAGAGGCACAAAGATCCCCCCAACCTCCCTTTCAAACCAAGCAATTGAGTAAACTGTGAGTTCCCTTAGTTGGCAGCCTAAGTGGAGGGGCCCCGAACCGCCCATCACAGGTGATAGATTAGCTTCTTTCGCAACCCTCCTGGGAAGGAGGATACAGGGTCCAGATTGCATCGTCCCGCGACACTCCTGGGACTCTGTCCAAGTGGTTGCAGTGGGAAATCAGGGGCTGGGAGGGAGCAGGAGGAGGGAGGGCGGGAGGAAATAGGGCTACCTGAGGGGACGAAGAGCGGCTGGCTTGGGAAGCAGAAATGCAGCGGGAATCTTGGGGTCGTCTGATATTTACTCTGACGATGGTATATGTACGCGATTGAGTTGGCCACGGGGAACCCGAGGCGTAGCCATGCCTCGCCACCAGCCGATAGAAGCTGCCTCGTGGCAAGTTGTGGCTGGCTGCGGGGCATTCTAGGTGGGGGTGCACATGGGGTGGGGGAATTAAGTCACCCCTATAAAGAAGGCCTAGCCGTTTTTTCGGGGCTCAGAAAAAAAATAAGGCCCAGCCTTATTTTATGAGGAACTCGATTAAAAAATGTGAATCCCACCCACTGATCCATGACAGTATCTAACCATTTCATCTTCTGCTGTCCGCTTCTCCTTTTGCCTTCGGTCTTTCCCAATACAGTAGAACCTCTGGTCATGAACGCTTCTGACCACGACCAAATCAGGTTCCGACCCAAAAAATTCACATTTTTTTTTTCATGGCCTATTTTCTCTTCCACGCCATTTTTTTTTTTTTTGTAAGCACCAATTTCCAAAATTAGGTTCGGGTGACGACCAAATTGGGTTGCGACCAAAGTAATGGAATGAATTATGGTCGTGACCAGAGGTTCTACTATATCAGAGTTTTTTTCCAAGGAGTCCTCTCTTCTCATTTGATGGCCAAAAGATTTGGGCTTCAGCTTCAATCTCTGTCCTTCCAAAGGACAATTAGATTCAATCTCCTTGCAATTTCAAGGGTCTTCAGCATTAGGTTACTATATAGTTAAACATGTTTTATTTTAATTACTTTTTCGCTGTATTTAAGTGAATTTTTCTTTACATAAAAGTTCAGCAAATGTATATATAGACTTTTATCCATATACAGATAGTCTTCAACTTACAACCATAGTTGAGCTTGGAATTATGGTTATAACTCATGCTGGTCATTAAGTGGGTCATCACATAACTGCGCCCGATTTTATGACCTTTTTTGCGGTCGTTGTAAAGCAAATGAAGCTGTCATTAAGTGAACATCATGGACATTAAGCAAACCTACTGTTTGCAATGGGAGTGGGGTTTTTTTTGCTGGTAACAAGAATTAAATGTTAGTTTCTGGTTAAAAAAAAAGTTGTAATGTGCATCACATGACTGCAGGACATTGCAAATGACCATAAATGTGGATCATAACTTTGAATGGTCACTAGGCAACCAATTGTAAATCTACCTATACCTGGTTGAGTATGAAGCTGATCCTTATTGTCTCTCTATTGCCTCTATTTCAAATCACTGCACTTAACTTTCCTTCAGGGTAATAGGTGAAAAAGTCAAATTTGAAGTTCCTCTTGGACCGTTTTGGAAAATTCCTCTAACACTTGTACAGCCAAAGACCATTTACACTGTATCATTGGTACCCTGGGAGTAAGACAATATCATGAGGAAATAGCATAGAAAAAAATGTCCGGGAATGTTTTATCTAAATCAGGGGTCCTCAAACTTGGCAACTTTAAGACTTGTGGACTTCAACTCCCAAAATTCTGGGAGTTGAAGTCCACAAGTCTTAAAGTTGCCAAGTTTGGAGAGCTCTGATCTAAATATTTATATGTACAGGTAGTCCTCGACTTATGACCACAATTGAGCCCAATTGTTAAGTGAGACGTGTTAAGGGAGTTTTGCCCCGTTTTACGACCTTTCTTGCCGTAGTTGTTAAGGGAATCGCTGCAGTTGATAAGTTAGGAATGCGGTTGTTAAGTGAACCTGGCTTCCCCATTGACTTTGGTTGTGAGAAGGTCGCAAAAGGGGATCACATGATTTTGGGACACCGCAACCGTCATGAATTAGGAACCAGTTGCCAAGCAACTGAATTTTGATCACATGACCACAGGGGTGCTGCAACATTGTACCTGTGAAAAACGGTCATAAGTCACTTTTTTCAGTGCCATTGTTAACTTCAAACGGTCACTAAGTGAACCGTTGTACCTGTAAATAGACCCAAATGAGGGAGAAAAAAAACAGGAATATGATGGTGGGATGAAGAAGAATAAAATATCGCTCTGTTCAAGTTCAAAATCACACATTTTGCTTCCCTACATCGAGGGCCTTAGCCAGCAAGCAATGTTAGCGATGATCTTATCCATGTTTCCTCTTCTAGCTATAAAAGTTTTCCTCTGTCAAGCAGGTTTCTCTATCTGGGTTTTCCATCTTTTGAATTTTCTCTTTTTCCAATGTTAATTCTGAGCCATGAATTTAAGGCAAGTTAGACTGTACAATTGTTTTTTTTGTTCCCAGGATAACGGACACAAGAGGAGGAGTTTTATTAGTATTGCTTGTTTTCTGGCTTCTGTAATACAGGTAGTCCACAACTTACAACAGTTCATTTAGTGACTGCGAAGGGACAACACACTGAAAAAGGGGCTTATGACCGTTTTTTTCACATTTATGACCATGGCAGCATTTTCCTTGGCCATGCGGTCAAAATTCAGACCTTTGGCAACTGACTCTATATTTATGACAGTCGCCAGAGTCACGCGACCAATTTTTGCGACCTTCTGACAGGCAAAATCAGTGGGGAAGCCGGATTCACTTAACAACTGTGTTGCCAACATAACCACTGCAGGAAGGGATTCAGTTGTGGCAGGAAAAGTTGTAACATGGGGCAAAAAAAACCTCACATAATAAACGCTTCACTTAGCAACAGAAATGTCGGGCTCAACTGTGGTCATAAGGCGAGGACTACCTGTAATTACAAGAATACAAGGTAGAGACAGAAAAGCTGACAATCAGGCTGTTGAGTGAGTTTCAAAAACTTGGCTCTTCATGCATTAATTCCCAGAACTGTGAATGAAAGACAGAAGTGTTTTTACCAGCAGTTAATATACCTTGAAGGCCCAGATCTTTTAGAGTGTTATAACCTCCTGGCTGTAAGAGTTCTCCAACAATCCTATCAGGTTCCTTCAAATCCCGCTCAACGACCGTCACTTTCCTTCCATCCCGGGCCAGCACCGTGGCCAGAGCAGAGCCAAGTACACCAGCCCCCACGATGATCACTTCTGGATCAGGCTGAGCAGCGGCTGTCAAAGCTGAATCGGTTTCTGTTCTAGTGTCAGGTGAAGGAATGACTCCTCTTGTACCCTGTCAGAAAGAAGACAAAGCAAAGGCATTTGGGTTGGTACAATGGCCATACAATATGCAGCAGATTTAATGACACTCAGGCACGCAGTGGCTCATACGGTTAGGACGCTGGGCTGAAAATCAGCAGGCTCGCGTTTGAGACCTGGTTACTGCTATGGGATGGGATGACATCCCGTCCCAAGGTCCAGCTGCTGGCGGCCCAACAGTTCGAAAGTAGGTGACTGTGTAGATGGATGGGTACCACTTTGCCAGACAACTTAATGAGGGCATGAAAGGAGCTCCAACTGGGCATTCCTCAGGCAACCTTTGAATCCTTTCACAATCCAGAAACCCTTTGGTCCTCCCAATATAATTATGGTAGTACAAGTCGTCCTCAATTTACAACAGTTTGTTTAGTGATTGTTCAGATACAATGGAAAAATGTGACCTATGACAGTTTTTTACACTTACGACTGTTGTAGTATCCCCATCATCACATCATCAAAATTCAGACCCTTGGCAATTGACTCATATTTATGATGGTTGCAGTGTCCTGGGGTCATGTGATCAGCTTTTGTGACTGTCTGGCAAGCAAAGTCAACAAGGAAATGAGATTCACTTAACAATCCTGTTACTCATTTAACAACTGCAGTGATTCACTTAACGACTATGGCAAGAAAGGTCATAAATCGGGGCAAAATTCATTTAACAAATGTTCTCACTTGGCAACAGAAATTTCGGGCTCAATTGTAGTTTTAAGTTGAAGACTCCCTGTAGTCAGACTCAGTTTAAAGCAGTCTAAATTCTATGTCACACTTAACAACTGTATTTGAGGGGTATTTTGGATGTATTTGGATAACCACAGTATCTACCCCACAACCTTAGGGCTTATGTACCTGCATCAGATAAAAGGAGGCATATATCTAAATACACCATATGTGGGACCACATCACTGAACATGGACGGCCATTTTCGGTATTTGGGTGCCAAGAAATGGAATGAAATATGAGAAAAGAAGAAGTCATCTCTGATTTTGAACATTCACAATTCAAAGGTCAGGAATTAGATTTTTCAGAGCACCAGTACAACAGCATAGTAAAATTCTTGGCAATTTCCCCTGTTTTCTGGCCTCTTCACGTTTAGAATTTCTGCCCTCAGGTTAGTAGATTGTTTCAGATAATTCCAAATACTATTTTGTCAGATATTTCTGTTTCACATGCTAGGTAAACTGGTTACATCAGAATTCTAACATTTTACTGGGCATATCTTGCAGATATTTCTTCCTACAAGACTCGATTTCCTCAAAAAACTGCATAGTTACACAAATAGTCCTTTGGGCTATTCCCATGCAAATAAGCGACGTTAGGTGGAGTGAAGGAAAGGAATAAGCAACAGCAAGTCAAAGAAAGTAAAGGCTTAAGATAATAAAAGGAGCTACAGCTGAAACTGGTTTATATCACCATTCACTAAGTCTCTACTTTTTATGTTGCAAACCACCTTTGCTTCCATCAAAGCCATGAGCAACATCATACACTGCCTCTTGGGGTTTTTTCTAAAATTTAACCTCTCTCACGAATCTTCGTTTTGCTGTGTTGTTCATCATCTGGGTACCACTTGCAATCTCTCACTCCACTTTTGCTGTTGAGCGCAATTTTTCCATTAATTTTCAAATCTGCACTTCTTATGCAACACGCAACCTGTCTCAGATAAGCTATAAATCATTCAACGATTTGGCTTCCTTTGCATAGCAAAGTTCATGCCGTCAGGGTTCCAAATATACCTATAGCAAAGAGAACTTCGAGGCAAGCAATTTCCTCAGAGAACACTTTGGATATTCAGTGGAACCTCAGGTCGCGAACGCTTCTGTTCGTAACCAAATCAGATGACGACCAGAATTTACGGCAAAGTTTTGTTTCTGGTCGCGAGCACATCTTTGGGTGGCGACGAGACACGGCCGCGGCGATTTCCCCTGCCATGGCAATTTCCCCTTTGGCCCCATTTTTTTTCATCCGCACATGCGCAGACAGTCATGCTTCCAGTCACAACCAAGTCGGGTTGCAACCATAGTCCTGGAACAGATTACAGTTGAGACCCAAAGTTCCACTGTATCATATTGGCACAGGCTGGGGAAAACCAACTCTAAAGGTTCCCGCAGTTTTCAGCTAATTAAAAGTAAAGTTTTCCCTCCATCCCCAAACAATCAGTCACCTAGTCTGATCAGGGCACTGTCCAGTTGCTTGGTAACATCACTCCTCCTCTCTTCAGCCACTTGTGGGAATGTCCTTGGTTCTCAGGGGAAAGTATTTTGTTTTGGCTACACAACTGCCGCTATCTCTATTTCTCCCTCCCTATCCCTCAGCACCACTGTGGCAACACTGAAGCCTCCAAGATATGAGTTCAGTCAGGCCAGCTTCAGAGTTGACACATGCATATTCATGTTTCCAATCAGCTCAGTTCTAACACCGTAAGGATTCCTTTAACTTCAACTGATAAATATATTAAATGCCCACGGAAACATTATACATCCTTCTTTTCTTGCCTGCTTAAGATCAAACCATTTGCTCCACTTTCAACCACACTTCACTTCCATCATATAAACACTTAACACACACAGCAATCAAATTCAAGTTTCTTTGCTTATGTTTATGTTTTCTAAATCAATATTTCTTAAACATTTCTCTCTCAGGACTTCCCCACTTTTAAAAATTATGGAGGACTCTTAAAAGAGCTTTTGTTCTTACGGGTTATATTTATTAATATTTGCTGCACTAAAAAAGAAAACTGAAGCATTCCTTCGGTGTTTTTCTTTACTGAATCTTGTAAAAATAACAATATTAAACCGATTAGATATTATCACAAATATTTTTCATGAAAAAAACCTGGTGGCAGCCAGTGGCAATAAGGTATGCAGGCCATCAAAAAGACAGAGATTGGGGGAGAAATAGGCAGGTGGGGTAGTTCTAGAGTATTTTTTTTTTCTTTCTTTCCTTGTCTTCGTTAACTCATGCTCAATATTATAAACATTATTATATACAGTACATTCCACATTACAATCTTTCTTTCACACGGTCATCCACAAACGTGCCTGTGGATTTTAACCTTTATTGTTCACCATAGCTTTAGCCAAAGGCTTCCAAATAGGTAGTCCTCAACTTATAATGGCAATTCCATCATTAACCAATGCAATCATAAAGAGCAACCACAACCCTTAGCAATGGCAATCCCTGGAGTTCCAGTTGCCACATTAACCAAATCCCACAGTCATTAGATGAGGGAGTTCCCTGCCAGATTCCCACAACTAAAGTCAGTGGGGAGCTGGGAGGAAACTGTACATCCCAGGTGAGTGGGCATGTAAATGGCTGCTGCTGGATTGGGGGAGAGGAATGTGAGAAACGTGGGGGAAGGTTGCGCAGGGCGTGAGGGAATGCGCATGAGAACGTAGATCAGGGAAGGTGCGCAGGACTGCAAGGAAGGAATGGGAAGAGTGTGCGTAAATGCACAAGTGGGTGGGGTGCAGGCACAGAGGGGCTGGGGGACAATGCGTGGGTGGGACGGTCTTACTAGAGCAACTTGAGACTATTTATTTATTGGATTTATATTGCCGCCTATTCACCCATGGCGACTCGAGGCGGCTTAAAGAATGTAAAACCACATTTAAAATTAAAAAGGAAACAATAAAAACTAACAAAAAGAATTGAATAAATTAATAAAGTACAATAGAACAAAATCTGGAAAAAAAAATCACTCCTCGCCCCAACAACAGATCACGCGAGCCATTTGATGGGCTCCATCCCGCTCTGGGTTCCCCAGGCCCGCTGGCAGAACCAGGTCTTCAGTGCCTCCCAGAAGAGTATTAGTGAGGGGGCCGTTCTAATCTCTGGGGGAATGATGTTCCAGAGAGAGGGAGCCACCACGGAGAAGGCCCTTCTTCTGGGTCCCACCAGGTGTATCTCCCTCAGGGATGGGACCTGCAACATTCCCTGCCTCTTCACTCTAATGGGTCGGGTAGATGTAATCGGCAGGAGATGTTCCCTTGGATAACCTGGTCCCAAGCCATGAAGGGCTTTAAAGGTGACAATTAGCACCTTGAATTGCACCTGGAAGCAAATTGGCAACCAATGCGGCTCCCGCAGGAGAGGTAAAACATGTGCACACCAGTGTCTGCACAAAACCATGCAGGCCGCACCAACATTTTGCACCAACTGGAGCTTCCGGGTGTTCTTCAAGGGCAGCCCCATGTGGAGCGCATTGCAATAATCAAGACAGGAAGTAACTAGGGCATGAATGACTGTGAGTAGGGACTTTTGGTCCAGGAAAGGGCATAACTGGTACACAACCTACAATTGCACAAAGGCCTTTTTGGCCACGACCGCTACCTGCTCTTTGAGCAGGAGTCGTGAGTCCAGGAAAACCCCTAGATTACACATTAGGTCTGCTTGGGGTAGTGCCACCCCATCCAAGACCACTGATATTTTGGGGGAGCTAGCAGGAAGGTTGCAAATGGTGATCACCTGATCATGGGGCAGCACAACCAATTTTAAGTGTAAACCGGTTGCCAAGCACCAAGATGGCGATCATATGACCACAGAAATACTGGGACAGCCAAAGCTCCAAGGAGCGGTTGTTAACACCCACTTGTTCAGCGCCATGGTAACTTTGAACAGTTGCTGAACGAATGGTTGTAGGTCAAGAACTAATGTATAACTTTTTGTACAACTAGATTGCCAGGTTTAAATATATCAATGCACCATTTCCTGCTAATGGTAAGACACAGCCTTGATCAGTTTGACACATCTGGTTAATGTACCACATATGCAAGCAAAGTCATTTATTCCAAAATACTCCCACTATTCTATGTAAGCCAGAACCTCTTACCAAACAAAACTTTGAAACTGAACTTTTTTTTCCCCCACTTATCACCTAGAAGGAACATAAGTGTTCTGGCACTCTAAATACAAGTGGCTGTAACAAGGAAAACCAGTGGTAGAATTACATTGCATGTAAATCTACAAATGTTCAAAAGCAATGAAAAATGGCTTCCTGCCATATTTAATTTTCAGCACCTCAGAGAAAACTTGTTTTGTTACTAACTTGTTTTGCAGACAGACATGTATTAGGTGTATCATACTGAAAAGCAGAGTTCACTAACTATAAATTTACTGACTGAATTTACTTTAAAATGTATTTATTACAAATGGGCTTATAAAGTGCTGAATCGTGAGGAACTCGTTTTTCACTTGTGCCTCTTTAGCAGATAAGCGAAGCATTAGTAGTGACTGTCGAAGATCCTATTCTTTGGTTCTCATCTCAAGTCTACGGGCTCTAAGAATTCATAAACTGCTCCTTTCTAACTTCCCCACTATCACTAAAGGCTGACCGAATGCATGAAACCATGCCTGATGGGTTAGGAAAACTACCACAGATTTCATTCAAGTTTTAATTGTTTCATGGCCTTTGCACCCAATATAAAATATATTTGATATTTCAAATTTTGTAACTATAGTCTAGTCCAGAGATTGAGAGGCACAGTGGCCAAGAGGTGAAGACGCTCGCCTCCCACTTGGGAGGTAGAGAGTTCAATCCCAGGCAGCAGCAGATGTTTCTCTATCAGGGCGCAAAAAGAAAATATTTGCTGAGAACTCTGGAAGGGCAACTGACTAGTAAATGCTCAGCTCCATTCAGTCACTCTGACTCCACCCCGATAAAAGGGTCATTAAAATGGGGGGAAAAAGTCTAGTCTAGCAGTTCTTGAACATTTAGATCCTGGGACTCCTTTACATTCTCAAAAATAATTGAGACCCCAAAGAGCTTTGATTTATATGGGTTATAATTATCAATATTTACTACATTATAAATTAAAACTAAAAAAAGTTACAATATTTATCTGTTTGACTTTACGGATCTCTAGGGCTCCCCAGACTGAATTTTGAGAACCATTGTTCTGGTCTATAAGTGTTCTTGTTGCTCAACAGTTCCACATTCCAGTTCTGCCAGATCCATATCATGAATATACAAGATCAGCCCATTGACAACCATGATGAATTATGCTCCCATGTACCTTTGAACGGGTGTTTTTCACCTCTGCTGTCAAAGAATACTTCCCTTAGAGGTATCATGACAGTACAGGTAATTCCCAACTTGGGATCAGAATTTATCTTGCTAAAGCAAGACAGTTATTAAGTAAACCGTGCCCAATTTTACAAGTTTTGCACAGTTGTTAAGCAAATCATGAGTCGTGGGGGTGCAATAAGCCATGGTGGCGCAGTGGTTAGAGTGCTGTACTGCAGGCTACTTCTGCTGACTGCCAACTGCCTGCAATTTGGCCATTCAAATCTCACCAAGTGGTTGTCTCAGCCTTCCATCCTTCTGAAGTGGGTAAAAGGAGGACTCAGATTGTTGCGGGACAATATGCTGACTCTGTAAACCACCTAGAGAGGGCTGTAAAGCACTGTGAAGTGGTATAAATAAGTCTCAGCGTTATTGCTAAGTGCTATTGCAAATCACTGCAGTTGTTAAGTGAATTGTTCAGCGAATCCAGTTTCCCTTAACTTTGTCAGAAACCAGCTGAGAAGGTCACAAATAGCAATCATATGACCTCAGGACACTGAAACCGTCGTAAATACATGCCAATTGCCAAGTGCCCAAACTTTGGTCATGTAACCACAGGTAACCACTGCTGCAATACCCATAAAGGTGAGGACCAGTGTTGTAATTACGAACGGTCATTAAATGAGTGGTTAATAAGTCACCTGTACGTGGGACTTTCTGTTTCTCCAGCACTAATCAGTTGGGCCAGCTTGCAATTCCCATCATCCGTAACTAACAAACATAAGTGTATACTGAAAATTAGAAACCAAGAGATTGAGGGGAGGTTTATGTTAAGGTAAATAATGTGGGAATCACATTGTCTCTTCCATCCTTCTGCCTTCAAATATGTTGGGACAACTTCTAGAATTCCCAGCAACAATCCCGCCCCCAAGAATTGTCATTCTAGGACTTAAGTGATCTAGAGAAAATCACAATGGTAAAAACTTGGCTAGATTTAGATCCAAACTGATCTAAATGATCCAAACACATGAAGAGTTTATGTAACCATAATTTATTGAACTGATACAAGATATTGAATGATAATTGAAAACACACTGAGGTAAAATGTGATTACTTTATGACACATTCAACCAAGAGGACTTACTTGCAAGTGAATTAAAATAGGTAGTCTATTACTGTAGCTGCTTTGCATACATAACTGAAATTGCAAGAGAATGTGCCTGTTATTCCATAGTTGTAGCCCTCATCCTAGCAATCTGAAGTAATTGGCTGGGGTCCAAAATCCTAGAATTATATAACTGTGACACATTATTTACATTCAAGATAAACTTTCAAAGCTAAATTTTATATAAGTGAACACTACTTTAGTGGTAAAATCATCTAAAATCTGATGTTCCTTCAATTTTAATTTTGCCGTAAAATTCATGAGAAGCCTTCTGGAACACAAATTTGTAACAGTGTTTTCACAGCTATCCTATGTATTTTGTCCACCCCCAAATTAAAAAAAAAAAAGAGTATTCTCTTTTAAACTGTTCAACTAAAACAGAGCATACCTTTCTGGTCTTCGGCTGCAGTTTCTTCATGGAATCAGTGTGGGATTTAGTCCAGAAAAAGCCAACGAATGGCAAGGCAGCAAGGAAATTGGAAAACATTCCACAATAAGGCTGCTTCTTATTCTGCGGCTGGGGCCCCCACACTCGGTACCAATAAGAGAGCATCAAGCCAAGAGAAAAAAACACCATTGTGGAAATAAGCACCTCCTTGTTGGCATAACTTAGCAAATCTCCACATTTTTTGTAGACATAGATAAAGGAAGCAATGCCCAGAAAAGTCCACATTGTGAGCGCTCTGTTTTTGTAGGTCCAAAGATGTACAAAATTGCTTAAAAGGTTTTATAAAGACAAAAAAAAGGCACATATAAAAAAGTCACAGCAGTCAGGAAACTTCAAGGCGTTTGCTGGAGCGCTGTCTTTCATGAAGAACATTTTGTGCCACAAACCTGTCCTATTTCACTCATGCTAACCCGAGTCTAAACTATGTATGTAACAATATGTATAATTATATACTGTACAAAACTACAGTATGCCATTTAGGGCACAGGTTTCTAACTTTTGTTTTAGCAGAGGCTATGAAGAATACTGTCAAATACAGTTTTTCATGCTTGCTTAAAAATAAAGAAGATTCTTGTTACATTTCCTAAATAAAAGGATAGTTTGAAGAAACACAGCTTTCAAGGATCCCTAGTTTGGTCTAATAAGAACACTGTAAGTGTTTATTACACAGCATAAATAGAAAGCTAGAAACGTCTTCCACCACGTTCTTTCAAAATGCCTTCGCATATGTCCATAAACTTCAATGTAAGGCTCATTCACTTTATCCTAATTGTTTTTGTGTACCACACATTTGATTCGAAATTCCTTTTTGGTCACAAAAACACCCCACCAATATTCTGTCAAAATAATGGATGTACCTCGAGAAACAGTACCACTTGTTTCTTACTGTTGAACAGTCTGTAGGGCTGGGCCAGGATATATATCTATATCTATATAAATTTTAGGGTGCCTGACCTAATTTTAGGGTGACTTCATCCACCAAGAGTGGTAGATAAAATAATCGGCTTAATTCCAGGGCAGTTTAAGAAACTAAAACATCCAGTCAAGCCAGTATGAGAAACGTGCTGCAATCCATCGGGATGTGTTTTCCTTTTCTTCTTTCTAAATACTTTAAAAGACCCTGAAAGAAAGAAAAAAAGAGAATTTTTTTTAAACAAAAAAAGTAGAAGAACGGCTGTCATTCAAACCAGGTGGGGCCAAGCCCTCTGACCACGATGGAAAGCATCAGGTTAGATTCCACGAGTCTCCCCCGGGTTGATCCCATCCATGTTCCTGACCGTGAGGGCTGGGGATGATGGAAAGGTAGTCCAAAGCTGATTTTTTTGTGGGGGGGAAACAAGCCAGCATTTATAGGAATGGATAGGAAACAAACCCGCACAGAGGCTTTAAAATACCTACATCTAGAGAAAACTGAATGAAAAGACCAGGTGTGGGGGGGTTCTCAAGCCCCCACCCACCCCCGTCTCCGATGTGCCCCCAAAAGCCCAAACGGGACAAGCAGAAAAGGCGATTCGCGTCCGTTGCTCGAGGATGAGGTTGCGCCCCCTTCTTCTTCTCCCTTCTTCTTCTCTCCCCCACCCCAAAAAAACGGGAGGAGAAGATGTGGGGGGGGGGGCCCGTCAAGGTTCGTCTTCCTCCGCAGGGCTCGCACCAGCTCCCAACCGCCTCCCCGCAGCGAAGGTGCGCCGGACAGCCGAGGATGCTCCAGCAGAAGCCGGCGAAGGATCGCGCTGCAGCAACCGAGGGAAGGAGGGGGCAGCGCGAGAGGCCATATGAGAAGGGAGGATGAGTTTATGCTAATTACCCTCGCCTTTCCAGCCCCTCTGGCGCGCCGCGCTCCTCGCGGCTCAGCCCCTCCTGGCCAATCGGTGGGCGCTATGCCGAGATGGCCTTATGAAGCTCCGACCAATCGGAAGGGGGAGAAGGCGGGGTTAACCGTTCCTCAGGAGCCTAGTGCGATGTGACGTGAGGAGCGCGCGAGCGCTGCTGGTTGTCATGGGGACGGAGACTCGTGTTTGGCTATCCCCCTCCCGTGCAGACAGCGAAACCTCAAAAGGGCTTGAATTTCACGGGGGCGGGTGGGAAATGTGCTGCTCCGGGAATCGCCTCAGGATACTTCGGGATTTCTTTAAAAGATGTCCTCTCCGATATCTTTGTTAGAGGAACGTGGAAAGGACGGGCAAGGGAGAATCAATGTTCTGAAGGATATTTATTGAAGCCATTCTCGAAGACTGGGCTCCAAAAACTTTTTCCCCGAACGACGTTGTTCCAGAGAAAGGGTCAGGTGACCTGACTTCACCCACGAGTAGCCACGTTTCAGCGAATTAAACCGAATTAAAAAAACAAAACAAACCGGTTTAAGCTCCACCAATCAACTTCGCCGAATGCTTCCGAGTCCCGCCAATCACATGCGCGGAAGGCGGTGACGTCATTGCTAGCGGGTATCTCGTTTCGCCTGGGTCGGGTCGCGGTTGCCATGGCGACCGCGGTGCGCTTGGAGTTGGGGCGTTTGGCTCAGGAGGCCGCGGCCCTGGCGGGGGTCGTCCGCGGGTCTCTGGGCCCCCACGGAGGACAGGTTCTGCTCACCCGCCCCACGGGGGAAGTTCTGCTTTCCCGAGACGGACGGCGTGTGCTGGAGGCCCTGAATGTGGACTCGCCAACGGCCAGGTAGCCGCTTTCGGGACGAACTTTTGGCCTAGGTTCTCTTTGCGGTCCGCGTGGGAGTCTGAGCTACGGGAACAGGAGACGGCGAGGCTTATTTATTTATTTTTTATTGATTGGTTTTCTTGTTTCAGTGATAGATCGTCCAGTTCTGAAACTAACGGTCTCCTCCTGAAATAGAATATGGTATTATAACCCCCCAGAAAGAAAATATAGGTACTCCTCAACAGATAACAGATAATCAGAGTTGGAAGGGACTCTGTAGGTCACCTATTTATTTATTTTGTCAAGTGATTATAAGGTAACAGGTATAAGTATAAACATAGTTATGAATACATGAAATGGATACATATAAGAAAAATAAAAAACACTAGGACGGGTGGTAGGCACGTTGCCTTTTCTGACAAATGGCAGTCCAATCTCTTCTTGAAAGTCTCAGCTTACAACAATTCACTTAGCGACAGCTCAAAGTTAGAACAGCACTGAAAAAAGTGAATTACGACCATTTTTCACATGGCTGGTGCAGCATCCCCATAGTCACAGGATTAAGATTCAGATGTTTGGCGGCTGGTTCATATTTATGACGGTTGCTGTGTTCCTGAGGATCATATGATCTCCTTTTGCAACTTTCTGACAAGCCAAGTCAATGGGGAAGCCAGATTCACTTAACAACCATGTTACTAACCTAACATGTGCAATGATTCACTTAACAACTGTGGCAAGGAAGGACATAAAGTGAGGCAAAACTCACTTAACAAATTCCCACTTAGCAACAATTGTGATCGTAAATTGAGGACTACTTGTACTTCCAAATGTTCTTTATGGACAACTCTACAATATAGAGCTCACTACTGTAAAACAAATGGGAGACAATTAGGATGTGAGAGATTGTGAGCAAGGCTCCCCGATTCAAGAATGGCCACTGCTGGCAAACCAGATGTAACTTTGCAAAAGCCCCCCTTGGGAAAGTTGCCATCTCATCAAGCAAGAGCTGAACTTGGGAGAAGATAAACCCTCCTTTGAACTGTAACTGCACCTTCAAGGAGAAGAGCATCTGTAAAATAATGTCCCCCATTCCAGTCTACCAGAGATGGTCCAGAAGGATACTATGCCCAGTGGCATTGAAAGTTGTTGAGAGTTCAAACAGAACTCAGGATATTGCTCTTCCCTCATCCTGCTTTGAAATATGTAGCACCTGAAAGTCAGCAGATGCCCAACCAAGCCTTTCTTTCCCTTACACAATCACCAACTATGATTTATAAATCATTATAGTTAACCCAAAACTAGGCAAATGATTTTTGCAGTATTGTTGTTATTTTAGTTTCAGCTGACTTCTGAACCAGAATTAGCTAACCACATCCTCTCCTGTGATGCAAACCTGGGATTAGATGTCTCATGCCATTAAAATGAAATGTTTTCCTATTAATTGAATCTGCTTCTTGGGTTCTTTTCAGTCACATAGGAATCATTTTTAATATGCAACCTAAGTATATATTAAAATACACTATATTCTTTATGAAACTTATGTTTATGTGATTGAACATAAAATGGTTCACAAATTTAACAGAATTACAAAAAATAGAATTAGAAAGGGTAACGGGACTGCAAACATTAAAGAAAATTAAATATTTAGGTATATGGCTAACGGCACACTGCAAAACAATAAAGGAGAATAATTATGATAAACTATTACAACAAAGAAAAAAAGATTTAGAATTATGGGCCAAATGACAACTATCACTACTGGGAAGGATAGCAGCCATAAAAATGTCTATCTTACCTAAATTCTTAACATCTATTCCAAACGATCCCTGTTAGATTAAAGAAAGTATTTTTTGATGAACTTAATAAAATTATGATAAAATTCATTTGGTTAGATAAAAAAATCTAGAATAAAGATAAAGTCAGTACAAGATATAAAAAGTAGAGGAGGATTTGGGCTACCAAATTGGGAGTTATGTTATAATGCAGCAGCACTAATCTGGACGAAAAAATGGATCAATTTAAGTAAGACCATATTAATTTTAGAGGGTCACGACCTACAAAGAGGATGGCATGCCTTTTTGTGGGAAACAGAGACCAGAAAACAATATTTTCATAGACGTTTAACTAGGAACTCTTTATTACAAAATAGGATTAAAATTAAGAAAATACATTATATAAAAATCCCAATTTGGCTATCTACGATGGAAGCAATGATTCTTCCAAATAACTTAGATTTGAGTAGAGATTTTGGAATATATTTGAAACCACAACAACTGGATAAATTTTTACTAGGCCAAGATAAAAAAAAAATACAAAAATCTATAAATATTTGCTGGAAGTAGACTTGGAAGAAGAGATTGTTAAAAGATGCATGATAACCTGGGCCCAAAATATCGGACACAACCTAAATTTGAAAGAATGGGAAAGTATGTGGAATAGAAATTATAAATGAACGAAATCGGCGGCATATAAAGAAAATGCCTATAAGATGTTTTACAGATAGTATTTGCCTCCTTCGAGATTAGCAAAAATGTATCCCAATATGAATTGGACATTGTTGTCACATATGACCCAGCTCTACAGATTGAGCTGACACGAAAGTAATTTCAACATCTCTACTTACAAGGCAGAAGTTGACTTCTTCCTTTCTCATGGAGGAAGGTGTAGCTATTACCTATAATTTCACGCTTTATAAGCACTTGCTATTTTTTCTTAGTCATCTTTAACTAAAGCAAAAGACTCCAAATGTATGTGGGTATTTATTTATTAAATTTACATGCTTTCTATCAAACGGCTCTGGGCTAATATAGAAAATATTTTCTTTAAAAAGTGTCAAACTATATAATATTGTTTATTTATTTTCTTAATATAATATAATTTTTAGTTGCTTAATTCCATGGGACTTTAGATAGCATTCAAATATGAATAACATTAATGTATTATAGTAAAAAAAAACCTGAATTTACCACACTAGCATCTTTGAAGTTATTCAAAGACCTGAAACTGCCTGCAACTGGAACACGAAGACCCTCTTGTACATTATATATTTGATTGAGGATTTTGCAGTATTGGCATTGTTGCTATTATTTTTTCCAATCAGAGCAGACTTTGGGCTGCATATATTGGTAAACTAAAGCAATCTAGGAAATCATGCTGTCCAGAAATGCTAATGATTGTTGCCAAATATTTGATTCCCTGCTTTCCCAATCCCCCTCTGCTGCCTTGAATAAAATCTTATATTTAAATTCTTACTTAATTATTCAACAACTCCCCAAGATCTGTTTTTCTGTATAGCCTCTGCTAGATCCAAACAAATCAATCTTTTCAAAGGCATATATGCTTAAAATGATTCATTTCAGCTTGTGCATGAAATTATAGCATGAAGATTCATATGTAAACAAGATAATTGTGTTTAGCAGTCTTTTATAGATATACGTGGGTCTTGTCAAGAACTGTCTTTTGGGCAGAAATTGGAGAGAGTTAAGATACTTCAGATGTTTGAAATAAACAGTTTTTTTTTAAGTTAACAATTGGTTTCTTCTTTGGTTTTGACAGAATTATGATAGCATGCATTTCTACACACTGCAATTTGTTTGGAGATGGCGCTAAAACCTTTATCATTCTACTCTCTGATTTACTACAACAGTTTGAAAAACTTCATAAAAGAGATCAAGGGAAATATTGCAGTTTGAAACACATTTCCCAGTTTCTTGTGAAGATCCAAACAAACATCCTGGACTATATAATGACACAGGACCTTAAGAAACATTTTTGGTCAATCTTTTCTGCTTCTGATTCAGATATAAGACGGAATATGGAGTTAGTGTTAGAACCTTATTTTTGTGGGAAAGTAGGAAGTAACAGACAAATGTTCCTAACTCATTTGACATGTGATTTCTACTTCAAAGTTACAGCGGGTAAAAACCAGAATGAGGCATTATGCTTGGTGAATGAATGTTTTACAGAACTGCATACCACTGTGACAGGCCTTCCTTTTTCAGATTCCAGGATCCTAGATGGCTTATTACTTCACAGAGACTTTGCCATATACAGTCCTGCAGATGGTGATAAAAAATTTATAATAATAACAGAACCTATTCACTCCTCTGTATCTGAGTTGGGTATAGAAGTTGTCATAACTGCTAAGGGTCAATTCAAGGCATCAGAAACCTGGATTACAAAAAGAACGGAAACACTTTTACAGCACATGCAAGACAATGACATCAAAGTAATACTATCTGGTGTAAAACAGCATGACATTGTTCATCACTTTGCCAAAAATAATGGCATATCTATTGTAGATTGCTTGTTAACAGAGGAAATCTCTCTTATTTGCAAGGTTACTGGAATTTCAACTTTCAAACCATCTTTGGATAATGTTAACCGTGAAATCACTCAAACAGCTGTAGCCAAATTTTGCCAGCCCTTCCACCTTGGAACCAAAAGATTTGTTCACATTGGCTTTGCAAAAACCTCTACCATTCAGCTTTATTGTGTGATTCTCTGTGGACCAGTACAAGGAGTTACGGAGCAACACGCTTCTGCTTTTCGTGAAGCATTCAAAATGCTACAACAAATGTTTACAGCAATTCATCTGCCTCAGAACTGTGCCTCAGAATTGGAAAATCATCCTCTTCTGAATAAAACTCAGCAACATCCATCTCCCCATCAGCTGTTATTTCAGGAACACAATGATTGGAGAAAACTTCAAACCAACATCAAGCATCTTACACCTTGTGGGCTTAACCTGGAGAAACACCCTGCATCTTTTTCTACAGTAGATGAAAATTTACTGCATTCATCCAGTTACAATTCTTCAACCGTAGTCACGCCTTCTGTTGGTTTGATGCATGGTAGTAAGAGCTCATTATTCCAGAAAAAGGATAATGACTTAGTTGGCTGTCAAACAGCTTCTTTAAAACCCAGATTTCAAAAAGAAAGGTTGCAAATGACCGAGAATGAACTTCTTGAAGATAATCACGCTGCTTTTAATACAGTCAATAAAAGTGTACAGCTGCAAATTAGTACTGCCACTTGTGCCAGGCTGCTTAAATATGAGGAGAACGATCAAAGGGGTAATCAGAATTACGCTGACTCTTGCATAGAACTGGGATCAGTTCTGCCAGTAGGAGGGCTCTTTGAAATCCTGTTACATTACTATCTATCTAACTATGCAAAACAATGCCAGTCATCAAATACATCCATCATTTGTTCTGTACTTGCTGATGTATTGCTAAGTATTCCAAAAGCACTCTGCATGACACAGAAAAAGAATGCCTTTCCTCAGCTTTGTCTTCAAGTTACCAATGCCCTCAAAAGCAATCAGCAGCTTCTGCCAAATCAAAGGCTTCTAGAATCAATTTCTTGTAAATACCACTTAGTAGCTTCTGTGCTTCAGTGTGCAGCTCAGTTGCTTAGTGTTGATTTAATCATTAGCATTAAAAGGCTACCGCAGAAAACTGAAGAGAGTGACTCAGAGGCTGATGGGTAAAAGCAGACTGCTCATACGCTGGTGGGAACCTTGTTTGTCTTGTTTGATTACTTTTTTTTTCTTCCCTAACTTGTAGTGAAAGGACCTTTACATTGCCTCAAATTCCATGCAACTTTGCAAAACAAATCAAGGACCAATCTGAACTGAGGGGCATTAGATACTCAACACATCAGACAGACAAAAGATATCCTTACCTTTACACACTGAGAGAATGCGTTGAAAAAAAGAAAGAGGCCATAATGATTATATTTTCCCTGAAGGACCAGTAGGAACCCATTACCAGAAGTGGCACCCTTTATTACTTAGGGGATAGGTGTCAAACATATCAGCTCTGCATTTGTTCAGTTTATTTACATGTTAAATCTGTGTTGTGGCTTTCTTCTACGGTAGACTCGAGGTAGTGTCCATATCACTTTACTTTTTTCAAACTTCAATTCTGTGAGATAGGTTTGACTGAGAGAATGTGACTGGCCACAAGTCACTCATGGATTGGCCACAGCTAATACAGTTTTATTCAATTATAAGCTCTTCTAATAACAAGCTCCCGGTTAAATATACCTGATTGTTTCTTGGCTGTGGAGAAATCAAAGTTCCCCATTCCCATAACATTGAATCTCCCAAGTCATTCTGAATCTGTTTTGACTGGGAAAGCATTCAGTGTGGGTAGCGTAGGAGTGACGTTGCTGGGAAAACATTGATTGGTCTGAATGCGATAACCCTACGCAAGATTTCTCTGGTTCTCTGACTTTGAGGAAGCTTAAAACAGGGAAAGCTGGATTTTCTTTTTCATAATTTCTGAAAATTTAGTATTGTGAAATCTTACTTCTTTATAAGGAACTACTTCTAGAAATATTTGTCCTTCAGGGAAAATATAATCATTACTGCCTCCCCCTACTCTCTCTCTCTCCCCCACCCCAAATGTATTCTCTCCGTGTGTAAAGATAGGGGCATCTTTTACCTTGCCACTGACTCTCATTTGGTTGGGTTGATACTGTGTTTTTCTGCAAAGATAAATCATGAGAAATTGAACTATGAAATGGCAGCAAATAATTGGGAAAACTAGACTGCATCGAATGCCATATTTATGGAGGAGGAGTTGGTGACATGGATTAATCACTCTGAGTAATCTGTTCAGCATAAACATGTTCATAGAGCATGTTAAAACATGAGTAACTCAACCATGATTCAACTGGTTGCCTGGGTTTAGATACATACTGGGTTATGAATTGATTCACCATTTAGAGAGAGATGAAATTCTCACCTGGGCTTTTGTACATAATTACGAAATATTTGGTATACCCTGAATTTAAATACATTTGGAATAATAAAAGACTGCTCGTTTTGTATCATTTTCTGATAGAATGCTTTTATTCTTAATCTAGGTTTCACATGCCAGTAAATGCCTTTTTTCTGTGAAGATCAACTGAAATTTTAATACTGGGTTAGCATTTCAGCGAGTTGTCCGAAGCAGCAAACTGGTGTGTGAATGTTTTACCCATGTATGCCGAAATCCTGATCACCAAACATATTTAAATCTATGGAGTGCAGTTGCCTTTTACAGATTAAATAATTTTGGCTTTTCTAATTGGGAGATAATTCAGTTTGGGATTTCCGGTTGCACATAACTTTTTTAAAAAGAGAAATCTGCATTCTTTGCAAACATTTTGGTTCTAGTTATTGGATGGACATTGACGCCCCCTGTTGGATACAAGTTGATATCAATAATTTACAGGGTTTTTTATTTTTATTCTGCCTTTATTTATTTTTTCTAAATAATTCAAGGCAGTGAATATCTGTAATATTCTCTCCGCCTATTTCCCTATTTTTAAGAGCTTTCTTTTGAAAATTTGCATAACAGTAATAACAACCAGGGCAAGGAACATACATTTGTAAAATTCTAAAGAGAAGGTCAGATAGGCATGAAATTCAAATCCAGGTGACCACATAGACATTTGGCCTGTTTCCCATAGTAGCATATAGTTTGTTAAAGGCTATTTTATTACTTTTTTTAATCCTGTCTATCCACATTGAATATTTTCTTTCCCTTTTTTCCCTCAGTTGTGTCAATAAAACACTGTACAAATTGTATAAATTCAACACTCAAGCTGTCATGAAGGAGGACTTGACTGACTCTGCAATAACTTGTTTTGGTGGGGTAGTTCAGGAAGCATTTCAACTGAATGTTTGTCGGGGAGAATGCAAGGGAGGCTAAGTGAGGACCAAATAGGCTGTAACACACATGGATTTTCTCCCATTTTTAATGGTTAACCCTAGAGGTTAATGTGGCTGAAAATCCAAGGTGAGAGATTATTGGTGGATTATGGATGGTTTGTGGTGTCAGCCTCTACCGACAGGAGATTTTTGAGGTTTCTTAGATACAGTTTCTTCCAAGCATTCTCATCTGTACCCATGATACTTTAAAAAATAAGTTAGTAGTATTAAAAAATAAGTGTTAGTAGTAGCAAGACATGAGAATGACAACACTAGATGTTTGACAGATAAAATAATTCATATTCATACTGTAGTATCAGACTACATGATTTTAATAGTTTTAGGCCCCTAATCCAAATCCTGTCTGACTTTCACAAGGTGCTAGTAAACAGAAATTAAATTGCAATTGCTCCAATTCATCAGATGGCTATGGGAGAACCATTAGTTCTTAAATCTAGAAACAACAGCAAAGTATACTGTAACATTGGTATAATTACATATACTCCCTTCATCTCATTTGTATTTCTAATTTACTCCTGATTCACACAACCAACATAATCTATAGTAATTTTGTCATTAGAAGGCACACAACTGAATACTGCTGTTATATGCGTAAAAGTTCCTTAGCAGATTTCAGAATCTTCTGTTAACATCCTATACAGATATTATTGTCAATAGGCATACAAATTGCCAAGTGAGACTGGATATAGTCATTGAATCTTACTTCACGTTAAATAGCTCCTTTCCATCCGACATTTTCAGGCCCAGTACTACATGTTGTTTCTCTTTATTATGAACTGCATGAAACCTAGTTTTTGAAAGAGCACAATCTCCTACACAAGTCTAGTCTGAGTGTTGGTAATAATCACATAAGGCTAAGCCAGTAATTTAATCATAGTTTATGTTGTCTATACAATTATATTAATCTAGTCCATGCATAAAACCAAGCCATCGTGGATGCAGTGTCAAATCATCATGGTATAGGGATGAACTAATATGAATATGAACTAAGCCTTTGTCTTCACCATGGAAACTCTTCTAAGGTGTTATAAAACTGATAATCCATATCTGAAATATCATTTTGAACTAACCCTAACCTCAAATATGCTGACTTTCCAGCACCAGGCAAATTTAGTTGATTGATTTAGTGTTGAAGATATTCTAGCCTGTCCATTATCTGATTTTAATCTGGTAATTGATCTGCATCTTTTGCTAGTTTTTGGTTCTGCTTATTCAATTTTGTGATCGATTGACAATGCATTTATTTTTTTATGTTAGTCTCTTAATTCCATCTGCTGCTTTGCAGTCTTTGCTGAAAAGCAGCATAGAACATATTTCACGAATAGGTCAGTATAAATTCATTACTTAGACTTTTGCTGTGTCCTTTGGAAATCCTTTTATAAATGTAACAAAATATATTTGGGGGCTATTTTTAGGACGCTAATATTGTAAGCCTTATTGAAACGTTGGATAGCCATCAGTATAATTAAATTAGACTGGTATCTACCAAGAAAAGGCAGATTGTCAAGCTCATCAAAGGAGCAGAATGAAAATCTGTAATCTGTTTCCAAACTTCTGATTAATCCACCCTGATGATTCAGCACCTGGCTTGTTACCCACATTCAATCAATTTATACTGTAATGATAGCAGAATATTTTCTTACCTTCCATTACAAACTAGGGCTGCATAAATGTCACTTTGTAATTTGTCACTGGCGATGCCACCAAACACAAGCCAGAAACTACTCTAATTTTTTTAATGTAAAGGGTTCATCCAGACCTCACAAGCACCATGCCAAGAGAAATGACTTCCAATCAGGATATCTGACAGTCAAATGAGGAAGGAACTACAGATAGTCCTTGACTTAAAACCGTTCATTTAATGACCATTCAACTGCACTGAAAAAGATGACTTAAGGCCTTTTTCACACTTAATGACCATTGCAACATCCCCTTAGTCATGTAATCCAATTCTGGCCTCTTGGCAACTGACATGTATTTATAACAGTTTATCTTTCCCATGTCCATGTGATCACCATTTATAACCTTCCCAGCCAGCTTCCGACAAAGCCAATGGGAGAAGCCCCATTTGCTTAATGACTGGATGATTCACTTAATGATGGCAGTGATTCACTTTACAACTGTGGCTGAAAAAGGTCATAAAGTGGAGCAAAATTCACCTTGCTTAGCATGAAAAATTAGGGGCTCCATTGTGATCGTAAGTCAAAGGATACCGATATGATGGATCAGGTTATCACAAGTAAATACCTGTATGGCAATGGAACTTCAAATATATTAAAGTGACATGATGGGATTTGTGGATGGATAACTCACAGAATGCCTGGTATAGGTAGAGTGAACACTCACTCAGTCCTTATTTCCAAACTTGACAACTTTAAGATGTGTCATCGATAGAGGAGAATATTTGTAGCTCAGGGTTAAAATGAGAGGCCCTTGGTGCTCTCTCAGCTTGGTTATTTTCTTGCAGATGTTTCATTACCAAACTAGGTAATGAAAATACACTGGTGATGTTACCTGCTTTGGTAATGAAATGTCTCAAAAGAAATCAACCAAGCTCAGAGAACTCTAAGGACTCCCTGCTTAAGATGTGTGGATTTTGGACTTCCTGGGATTCCATGGAATTCACATATATTTGTTGTGGTTAGCCGGCAGCAGGTGCGGACGGTGGAGGAGAGCAAGGACTCGGATGAGGGGCCAGGACCATCAGGGAGTGGACTGCTGCCTTTAGGGATTGTGGGAGCTGGCAGCAGTGATAAGGAGGTTCCCGAGGAGCCTGTGCCACGTGCATGTGAGCACAGGATTTTTCGTAGAAGAGAACAGCTGGAGCAGCACAGGTGACTCGGGAGTAAGGATGCAATGTAATGGCCTCTCCCTTCGGGGAATATAAGCCTGGTTTCAAAAGGTTTTTGCCTTTGCAAAAGGCGAAAATGCTCTAAGGACCCAGCATTGTGTGTAGAGACTCCGGCTTATCTGAAGAATTCGGTCAGGCTTTTCTGGTTGGACTAATTGGCTGCAAGCCATCTTTTATCTACAAAGAAGTTATTTGTAGATTAAAGCTGTGAAGGTTTGAGTTGCGTTTGTTTGAGATTTTCTTGCTGGTAACAGGTTGGGTCAGAAAGATATTGAAGTTGTCAAGTTTGAACAATGCTGCTTTAAGAAGAATTAAATCATCCATACCCAAAGTCTGAAGATTTTGTCAGGTGAAACAGATGCTACGATGCAAGCTGTAAACCTTACAGACTTATGATGCCACAAACAGACAGACCCAAGAAGAGGACTTTGCATTGTGATGTCATCATGTACCACCCCATCTTACCCATGGTTGAATGGGAATCCAGGCGTTATTATGGGGCGCTGCAAATTATGTGGCTCTAAATGCCTTGTGCTGTTTTGCATATCAATCTAGCTCTTTTGGTCTCCCATCCTAGCTTTGATTTCCCTGTTTATGTTAATAATGATTTGCATTCTTTTTTTTTTCTTGCCTGGGATGAAAACTGTTTTTTATCAACAAGTGGAATTTCAGAAATGAGATCAGAATAGCACCTGTAGCCTCAATACATTGCATGTCATTGCTACTAGGCTGTAATTTCTAATGTCCCTCAATTATCAGTTGTATATTCATTATTATTCATCAGGTGAGTCACAGGTAAGTTACATTCTAGTGTCTCCAAACAGTTTCAACTCATCTGATTTAGGACGTCTTTCTGAAACTAAACAGATTATTACAGATGTTTATATACATGATTAAAAGTTCAGTTGATCAGGATTCAGATGTGACATTGGACTAAGGAAATACAATGCTTATTTGATGGCCCACAGAATCCCAGCAGACCAGTAGATGGCGCAAAATGGACGTTTAAGGAAAGCTTGATGGTCATCCTCATTTCCTGACTAAGGTATTTTTGTGTAACTTGAGAGGCATTTAAACTAAAATTCATGCAGCTGAAATGATACTCAAGTCTCATTCATCTGGAAATCTAAAGATAAATTAGAGCAATTAATATATTAATTCATTGCCGCACCAATTTAAAAGGCAGCACTTGAATTAGATTTAGAGCCAGAACTGTAAATTGGAATGTACTGGTAAATGTATGG